GGTATGTAGATACAGATGCATTTACAGATTTCAAGAAAGCACATATCAGGGTAACTCAAGAATTAACCTAGCCTATCCAGTTACCTGGATCAAAACCTCATTATTTTTTTTTATTTGAAAAGTTTAGTACACACACAAAAAAGTTTAAGACATGGAGAGCCTGATTCTCCATATAGATTCTCTGTCTTTCAGTGGCAGTAGATATTTGGAAGTATAAAAGTAAAAAGAGAAACCCATGCACAGCATATGTGACACCTGGGTTGTGGTGCCAGAGCATAAATAGACTGATTTTCCAGGCTTGTGCCCAGATAAGTTATTCAAGACAAGAGCCAGGAAATCACCCAGAGTCACAAAACCATTGCTCAGGAAAGGACCTTGGACATCACTTGTTCCAGCCCATGGAGGTTAAATGATCAGTCCAAGCTTCCCGTCAACTCCGTGCTAGAAACTGGCTTAGCACCCAGGCCCTGGGTCTCAGGAGGGGGTGCCTGACCTCCTGCTTCACATTTCTAGTTCATCTTCCAGTGTCATTCTCTGGGCCAGTTCACCACCAAGATTCAAGTTAAAATGAGCAGCCAGATGCCAGGTAGGCTTTGGGTTAGACCATGTCTCTCTCAAGCCAGGAAACTGCCACCTCCCACCCAAGGCCCCAGGGCTGAGTCTGGCACCCAGGCGGTTTGGATCGAGTTCTCAGTTAAGGGGAAGCCAGCTCCTGGCTGAGTCCCATGCAACCTTTCTCTGCTCTCATTCATTCAAGTCCAGGGATCTGTTTTTATTTACTTGTTTTCATTCTTGAAAAAGTGTTACCAGTTGGAGAAGGGAAGGGCTCTCCTCTGTGGAGCTGTAACCAAAGAAAAATACAGGTCAGAAAACAATTTTTCCAGCAAGGCAGGTTTGTCTGAAGCCAGCCTCTGAGTGTATCACTGCCAACTTTGAATTCATTTCCTTTGAAGTAATGATGTGAGTACAAAAGTAATAAGCCTCTAGGATGGAGTATCCAGACATGAGTTAATTCACCTGGCTTTGGGGATTTCCCCTCATTTCAGATAGCCTATGTACATTGCAGAATACAGAAAACTGTGGAGAAAACATCAACTACCTATTACTCAAAGACACCCTGAAATTAATGCAAGATTTTTAGAAAGTGTGTATTCTTCTTTTTCTCAGTGTGTATGAAGTATTTTTGAATAGTTCCTGTTACTCAAATTGCTCACTTTTTCTCTTACTATACCTGAATATTTTGCTAGCAGTAGCCAGATTTTGATGACTAGTATACATGTAAACTAAGCTTGAGAGTATACATTCCATAAATAATGCATAATATTTATTTACTTAACAAAGATTCTGCATCTGGCCTCTAATCCCTCAGAACCTGGACTGAACAGAAATCTCCAAGATAAGCTGATGGCTGGGGCAGTTGGGTTTTCAGGAGCCCTAGGAAGGGGAGAGATTCCAGGAGCGGTCTAATCTTTTGCAGAATAAATGAGTGGGAGGTAGAGGAAAGAAAGGGAATGGAAAAAGCGGTTTGAATCATTTCAGCAATAAACGAGACTCTCAGGTGATAGATTGCCTGTCATGAATCAAAACCTTTAAATACTGGAGGACAACTTGGAACCGGTGTGACTCCAAGCCCAGATGATGGAGCGTTGAGGTCACCAGCACAGGCAGAGTTCCCACTTCCGCTGCCTACTAGCAGTATGACCCTGGGTAGGTCACTTAACCTCCTGGGCCTCAGTTTCTTCGTTTGTATAAAGGGAATCATATTGGTACCTACCTCCCAAGCTTGCTCTGAGAATTATGTGAGATGATTCTTATGAAGGGCCCAACAGCACTGACACGTGGCAAATGCAGTAAATACCGATTGTGATTTCTGCTGTTGCTACTATCATTTTACCACATCAAATGTCAGGATAACCTTTAAAGCATCCTTTTAAGGTAAGGTAAATTGGATTATCTGGAGTTTGGTGTTTGAGTGCTGAGCCATACAGAAATGCCTTGAGAAATGTGAGCATTCTTGAAAGTAGAAGTTCTCCGTTAGTCATGCCTAAGTGGTAAAACGTTGCTGGAATGTGGTGCGCTGGTACAATACACCTTAGTGAAGCAGTGCTTGAGCACCCTGTCCCTCTGCATCACACATTAGGTCTAAAGGGCTTCATGAATTATCTTCTTTCATTGATTCTAAGTGGCTCACTTTTCACATTTTAACATCTCTAAATCAGGATCTGTCTTATAATCAATAGTGTGTCATATTTAACAGATGGTGTGTTTTCTTTCTTAGTAGTACCTAAAGTAATAAAAAAATTGATAGTATTTTAGATTTAATAAAATATGTTCATTTCTTTGAACATTTTTGGTCTGGGGAGGCTTTGGCCCTGTTCTATAGTTACATATTTTGTTTATAGTGTTTGGAAACACCAGTGTTCTCAAGAGACTCATTCATCAATGTTTAATGGCAAATTGGTTTCCCAGCCTCAGATAGTTTTCTATAACCTAATCCTTTCGTGGGGAAGGCGAAGCTAAAAATAAGTATTTCTGCCAGTATTTTCCATATAGACATCATAAAACAAAAACACCATCATGTATTAATATTTCTACATGTGTGAGAAAGCACTTTAAATAATAAAACCCAACTTATTCTTTGCAATGCTAAACTGATTGATCTTCAAATCCTACTACCATGTTGGTGGTTCATATAGCAAACCATGTAAGCACACACATGTACTATAACCTAAATGTAATAAAAAAAGACCAGCTAATGATTTTTACTCATCAAGTCTCCTGCAGGGATTCAACTCAGACTTGTTGATATATTAAAATATTATAAAATCCATTAAATAATGCCAGGGTGATACATATTTCTTGCCTAGGTTTTTAAAAGTGCATTTTAACTTAATATTATATTTTTCCAGAATTGATACATGAGTATTCATCATTAGAAAATGCCCATCTGATTATGAGGATTTTAAAACTACCCCATCCTCCAAAGAAAAGTCACATTTTTGCAACTAAATGTTACTGTAAAACTTTTTAGAAACTTGAAAGTTTTGTTGTTTAAAATTTCTTTGTTTTTAATGAATTTGGTGATGGTTTCCACCAATGCATTAACTTTTAAGACCTTTCATTTTGAGAGGCAAATTTTGATTTATGGGTAAAATATATATACTTATGAGAGATGAATAAATGCATAGTTCTTGAGAACCCATGGGGATACTTTATGAAACATTCAATAATGCCTTTTCTGAAACCGTTATCTTAAAACATTTGTAAAATTTATGCAATATTTTATACACACTTTAAAATCTAACTTTAGCTTTTTACAAGAAACTTCTACCAAAAAATGCAGTAGTCATTAGCTTACTCTCTTTAAGTCAAAATATAATCTAGCTAGAATTTAATTCAACATTTTATTTATTTTTACCAAGCAACTATTGTAATAGCAGGATAATTTTGGACTTCATTCTAGGGTCAATTGGCCCCAAATGAAAGACAAGGTAAAACTGCATTGATGTTGTTTTTCAATTACAGAAGTAATCATAGTCATTGTAGAACATTTGGGAATATATAAAATATATGTAAAGAGAAGGAAAAGTCACCCAAAATTTAAGCACATTAAAAATAATCACAATTGATATTTCACATTTTCTTACTATTTTTGATATATGTTAATATATGTATTAGCAGGTATATTTATGTGTATGTATAGGCATGTATATAATCTTATACATGTAAACATCAAGTATATGTAGTTTACATTTCCTATCATTAGACAGTATTTTCACATATCATTAAGTATTCAACATCTTATTTTTTCATAATTATATTCTTTTTATGGACATGTAGTAATTCAATTATTCCCCAATTGTTGGATATTTAAGTTGTTCCATTTTTTTTTTTACTATTATAAATTCCATCAAGGATAAAACTGATACATTCAAGGTACTATTGAGAGAGAGGAACATAAGCACTGGAGTAATAACTTGAGGTATCATGGAGATGAACCTGACAGTGATGTGGCAAGTAGATAGTGAGGTCCAAATCACAGAGACCCCTTAGTGCAGAACAACGAGTAAAGGCAAACCTGGAGTCCCAGCCATAGAAACAGAAAAGAAGTGATGGATATGAAAATGGGTGTGTTGGGAACTTAGTAGGACTTGGCAAATGATGAATATTCATGAGGTATGAGTCAGAGATCAAAGTTTATGTGATGGGAAGAACTGGTGCCATAAACAGAAATTGTCAAATTTGGAGGAGAAGGACATTAACCCTAGAGGTGAAACCGAAGCTCTTGATGGACTCTCACAGCTAGAGATGAAAATACGAGTCATACACAGAGAATGTAATGGTGAATCCGTGGGAATAATTGATGTATCTGAAGGTCGTTCAGCACAGGTGAAGGAAAACAGGGTCCAGTTGAAATCTTTAAGAATGATCCATATTTTGATGAAAAGGAGTAAGAACTAGTGAGAGAAGAATAGGCTGAGAGTGGGGAGGAGAGGGAAAAGGAAAGAATGAATTAGAACTCTAATAATAGATTCACTGGGAGCCCAGGAAGGATGAGAACTTCAGACTAAAATCCACAGCACTAAGGGCCACAGGCAACTATGCCCAAGATAGGCCGATGAGAAGCTAATTGTAGCCTTTACAGAACCACAGAATGACTTCACTGGTGGTATGACCCTAAGCCAATTGAAAGGCGTTCATGAACAAGTGAGTGATAGCCATGATTTTGAACTTTTGATGATGAAAGAAAGGAAAATGTGGGATATATATCCAAGGCGGTCATAGGAGGTTTGGGGAGATAGTGACCTGCATGGATGTCCTGTTTCCGGTATAACATCTCCCTTCAGCCAATCCAGGCTGTCACCTTGAAGCTGCCTAGGAAGCAGAAGAGGGAATTTCTATGGGCAAACCACCTTGTTGGCCTAAAAATTACTGTTAAAAAATCATTTTTAGAACCTTTAAAGGAATAATTTATTCAAGGGGGGGAATCTCTTTTTCAGGCAACCACTGAGAAAATGGAACCGAATAGTCAAGAGGATGAGAATGATGGTGGAAAACTAAGAAAAGGGAATATAGAACTTGCCACATCAGGTTTGTTTCATAAGAGACTAGCTTTAAGGTAAATCATGGTAACTCTTAAGACGTAGTGGAAATAGTCAAGAATTTTTCCTACTTAGCCACAGAAAAGTAGAAATTAGACGCTAGGAGTGGTGTGGTTGTGCTGCCACCTAGAGGCTTCCTGGGGAAATTCTGACCATACGGTTAATGTTGCTATGAAAATAGGAGCCCATGCTTTTTTTTTTTTTTTTTAAAAAAGGTACCCAGTTTTATTTTGTTTCTTAAATATTTATCTATATAATAATAAACAATATTGCTTCTTCCATATAAATCGTGCTAAAAATTGACGATAAAATTTGACACAGAGTAACAGCAATAGATAAACGAGAGATAAAAAATATATCATAAAAATAGATGCTGAAATGGTAAAGCTCATGAATAGTTAAAAAAAGGATAAAATAATGCTATGAATCTGGACAGTGAGTATAAATATGCTATGTTTATTGTTTTAGGAAGGAGGCCTGTCTTCCCTAAAGTCTTGTTCTTCAGTGTTTTTTTGCAGCCTTATCAGTATATTTAATACATTTCTTCTTTTGAGAAACCTTAAAACCTCTCACCCTCAGCTGGAGAATCGCTTGAACCCAGGAGGCGGAGGTTACAGTGAGCAGAGCAACAGAGCAAGACTCCGTCTCAAAAACAACACCAGCAACAAAAAAACTCTCACCCTCTTCCAATACCAAATTATTATTTTTATAAGTTCTTTCTCCAGTGTTAATTACCAAATAATTTTTAAGTGACATTTTGAAATAAATTAAATGTCACTTAATAATAGCATGTACTTTTTCAAACTAGATTGTGCCTTCATGTTTAGATATGCCCCCTTAGGTGGTGACTTTTCCACCCCTTCTAAAGTGAACCTAATTCTTCTTTATGTATCAGAGAACACTTTATTTTCATTGCACTATATGCATATATCCCACACTCCATAACATATTCCAATTAAGAAATTCTGATGTTAAAAAAGGAGCACTGAAATACAAAAATGGAAGCATCAGTTTGCCGCTCATTCACGGGAATGTAGAGGCTGGGTACAGTGGCTCACACCTGTAATCCCAGCTCTTTGGGAGGCCGAGGCGGGTGGATCATGAGGTCAGGAGATCGAGACCATCCTGGCCAACATGATGAAACCCTGTCTCTACTAAAATATAAAAATTAGCTGGGCGTGGTAGCACGAGCCTGTAGTCCCAGCTACTCAGGAGGCTCAGGCAGGAGAAAGGCTTGAACCCAGGAGGTGGAGGTTGCAGTGAGCCAAGATCACACTACTGCACTCCAGCCTGGCACCTGGCAACAGAGCGAGACTGGGCCTCAAAAAAAAGAAAAAAAAGGAAAGAAAATCACCTGTAGATGTTCTCTTATCCAGCCCATCTGCCATGATCATGATATATTTGTGTCAGCATTCTGTTTCATGTAGTATTATTCAGATATAAACCTTGACCCTTACTAAAAACTTCAGTTCTTCATAGTGTGGTGATAGGATATATTTTTTGTTGCCTGTTGTTCTATAATAATGAAAGAGCTTTGGGAATTCTAGCATCTTAGGTTCTCTTATACCACTCAGCACACTGTCATCCAACTTATATTGCCAGGACAGGATATGGACTGAAGGTACTTCATGGCATTGTAGAAAAATGGTCCTATAGTTACTTGATTTTCTTTTTTTTTCTCTATGTTTCTGGATGTAACTCCATTGCAGAACCACAGCATTTTACAACAACTGTGACTCGATGCAGCCCTACTGTGGCCTTTGTGGAATTTCCCTCCAGCCCCCAGCTGAAGAATGATGTGCCAGAAGAAAAAGACCAGAATAAACAAGAAAATGAAATGAGTGGAAAGGTGGAGTTGGTACTGTCGCAAAAGGTGAGGAAAGTGGTTTAAACCTGCAAGTTAACACGGACCCATATTGCAGCTAGCTGCTACTGTGGCAGTTGTGAATAATGAAAATTTATTTTCTCTCCTCATCTTTTTCCCTATCTTTAATCTGTAGGTTTTTATGTTTGTTTGTTTTTTTGTGAGATGGAGTTTTGCTCTTGTTGCTCAGGCTGGAGTGCAGTGGCGCAATCTCAGCTCACTGTAACTTCCAACTCCCGGGTTCAAGTGATTCTCCTACCTCAGCCTTCCAAGTAGCTGGGACTACAGGCATTCGCCAACATGCCCAGCTAATTTTTGTATTTTTAGTAGAGACAGAGTTTCACCATGTTTGCCAGGCTGTCTTGAACTCCTTACCTCAGGTAATCCACCTGCCTCAGCCTCCCAGAGTGCCAGGATTATAGGCATGAGCCACAGCGCCTGGCCCTAATCCATAGTTTTTCTAAATATAAATATGCTGCTTGTTCACTGTTAAATATTGAGAGTGTGTGTGTGTGTGTGTGTATATATATATATATATATATATAGAGAGAGAGAGAGAGAGAGAGAGAGAGATATCCAGTACATAGAAAGTTATACACATATTGATAGGTAATAAATGTATCAAGTAATATATTTTTAAAATATATAAATAAACATAGAAATAGAATGAGAGAAGGCATAAAAATCACTGAAACATACCTCTATTAGTAACATTCGGTAAATGTTCTTTCAACATCTTTTAAAACTTACTTTAAATCATTGATTTTTTAATTCTGAGGAGTTCAGTACAAAGAAAAGTATGGTATCATAAAAGTTCTAAAGCCTTACAGTTAGGTTTTAGTTTGCTGTATGTATTTGCTTATTTGCTTTTTAACCTATCAGCTTACTAGCTGGCCTCTTTCCAGTATTTGTTAGCAATGATACTTCTGATGCCCCTGGATTTGGATGACAAGAAACCTAGAAAATTATTATTCTGATGTAATAGACTTTAAAGTCTTGTTTTTATTAAGTTTTCTTCCTTGTTTAGAGTCTCATCTTATTCACATTAGTTTGATTTGTTTTCAGGTACATAGTCTAAAAATATTCATCAGTTACATCAGTAAATCTCAACCTCGATTACCCTTGAGAATTAAAAAAAAATCAAGCTAGCTGGGTATGGTAGCTCACAATCGTAATCCCAGCACTTTGGAGGCCAGGGCAGGAGGATCACTTGAGCCTAGGAGTTCAATACCAGCCTGGGAAGCCCAGAAAGTCTTTGTCTCAACAATAATAATAATAATAATAAATTAGCCAGGCATGGTAGTGAGAACCTGTAGTTGCAGGTACTCTGAAGACAGGTGGGAGGATCACTTAGCCCAGGAGGTCAAGGCTGTGGTAAGCCATGTTTACACCACTGTACTCTAACCTGGACAACAGAGAAAGACCCCATCTCAAAAACAAACAACAATCCAAGCCCATTCCACACCAAACAAATTAGAATCTCTGGAGGCAGAGCCCAGGCATCTGTAGTTTTTAAAGCTCCCAGGTAATTTTAATGGGCTACCAAGACAGGAAACCACTGACTTTCACAACTGGAAGACTATATGTGGTGGCATCCCAGCTTTAAAAATGAATCCTCAATTCGGATCTGACTTTAAAGTGAAAAATCTACCACTTGCGGTTCCAGTTTATTCATCATTTACTCAACCAGTATTGGCTGTGGACCTACTCTATCATGCCTGGCCCTGTGCGAGGTACTGCGTAGTCAGCAGTGAACATCAGGCAGCCCCTGGCCTTAGGAGCTGAGAATGATGTATCCTTGGCAGAGCCTCTAAAATGGTTGCTGCCTTGATGCCTTTTCAATATTTCAGACCATAGCTATTCCTTTTTTTTTTTTGAGACAGAGTCTTGCTCTGTTGCCCAGGCTGGAGTGCAGGGGCATGATCTCGGCTCACTGCAGCCTCCGCCTCTTGGGTTCAAGTGACTCTCCTGCCTCAGCTTCCTGAGTAGCTGGGACTACAGGCGCATGCCACCATGCCCAGCTGATTTTTGTGTTTTCAGTAGAGATGGGATTTTACCATGTTGGCCAGGATGGTCTTCTCAATCTCTTGAATTTGTGATCTGCCCACCTCAGCCTCCCAAAGTGCTGGGATTACAGGCGTGAGCCACTGCGCCTGGCCCTATTCCTCATTTTTATAGAGAATTAAAGAATGGTCTGCAGGTCTGGAAGGGAGAACTAAATGGGGGTCAAATGTTGGGAGGCAGGCAGAATTTCCCGCCTTTGCAGGTTTCACTTTATCCACACCAGACTAGAAGTCATTATTTATTATCTTTCCAAGTTTGCTTGCTTTTCCCACTTAAATCTAGGCCAAAAGGAAAAATCTGTATCATTGCAAGAAAAAAAATTTAACTTGAACGGAATGAATATCCTAAGTAAAAGTAGTCATTGCAAACCTCAGCTGTGCAACCTCATCTTGGAGTCCATTCGTGGATCAGCAGAGTCACACCTGCCCTACTCTGGAAAAAATTGTTTCCAGGAGTTCTTCAGTTTGTTTGTGTGTATGTTTTTGTGCATTTTTCTTTCTGGTCATCTGGTAAACATTATTCTCGGGATATTTTTTAAAGCATAAAGTAAAATATGCAGGATTACCAAGTATTCTTGGTATCATGTGGTACCAAGTATATGTAGCCCCGGAATCCTGTTTTGTTGACTCTAGGATAAGAGCCCTACCAGTTGATGAGCAAATGGAATCATGGTCTTTGAATCCAGTGCTTTTCTCACTTAGACTATGTGAATTTCTCCCTTTTCTTCCTTTCCTATTGTGCAGTCAGCTCTTAGATAAAGGGAGCATGGTAGCCACCATGATTGCAGCAGCTTTTATTTTCTGATTTCACTTGGGAGTGTTCCCTTTATAAAACAAAGCACCCATGCTTACAGGCTGACCATTTTATATAGCAGCCATTTTGAGCATTGCTGATGAGTCTTAACTGTTTCATTGACAACCAGGCATTACTGAAACATGTTTTTGCCAGCCTCCATTATGAGGAAATGATATGAGGTTAATGATTGGTGGGTTGTCAGCTTGGGAAGGCTACACCTTAGCATTTGCTGTGTAGCACCAACATTCATTTGGACACCTGGTTAACCTCTGTAATGCAGAATGAGGTGGTTAGTTTTCTTCAGGAAGAGTTCAATATATTATTCATAAAGAACAATAATTTTTTCTGAGGGTAAATTCTAACATTAATTTGTTCTGAGGACCAAATTAGGGATCAGGGTATGATGAAGCAAGTGCTCTGTTGTCTCATTTGCCCTGAGGTCATTTATCTGTCAGGAACACAGCCACCAGCCAAAGAGTGAATCAGAGAAGGTCCTGTGAGCAGCTAAAAAGACATAAACTTTTACAACCACACTCTTCATTCAGACCTATGCGCAGTGTCTACTGATGCTTATTTTACACATTTTTGTCTTAATAAGTTTGGTAATCCAGTCTTTCAGTGATCAGTTGATTAGAAGCAACAAATCATAAGGGTGCTTCTACTAAAGGTCATTCAGATTAGGGAGAAACAAAATTAAGCATCAATAACAAGAAAAATCTATTTTACAAAGCAAACATAAGAATTTTTAAATCTGTAATTTTGGAATTGACAAGTAGTCAAATGTGCCTCAAAAATTCCCTAGGAGTATCAGATACTAAGGCATCGTTTGATGGTGGTTATTTATAATAATGCTTCTTTGTCAACAGGCAAAGTATATTGTCTTTCATGTGCTTTGCATAAATTCATGGGGGGTTATGTAATGTCTTGAGAATAATGGCCATTGAAAAGTAATATTACTTTAATGTTTAGCACTTATAGAGTAATATTTGTTTTAATTATCTTAGGTGGAAGATCTAATTTCCTGGTATTACAAATTCAGTTTTGTGTGGTAGCATGAAGAGAATTTGTGACCGCTCAGTAAGAAAATAAGAGGGAGTAATGTTTAATTCCAAAGATGGAATGTTGTCTTCTGGTTTGGAGAAAAGTGATCATCTCATTTTTATTCTCTTGTTTGATTTACCTAAGAAAATGGACTCTATTAATGTAGAGAAGGATGAAAGTGCTTAGGGAAGGAACAAAAAATTAAATGTTTAAAGTTAAAGTTGAATGTTAAATGTTTGAACTGATTGACTTCCATAATAGCCATGGATCCTTACCTTTTATGTCACCTGTGCATTTATCAATGGACAATTCCTATAATGTTTGTGGCTGTTGTTCATTGTCCAGGTGGTAAAGCCAAAATCTCCAGAGCCAGAAGCAACGCTGACATATCCATTTCTGGACAAAATGCCTGAAGCCAACCAACTACATTTGCCAAATCTCAGTTCTCAAGGTAAAGAGAAGGATATGTTTTATTGTAGGTCTACATGTTCTGCTGGGCCCATCTGTGGTAAAATACTACTTAATTTAAAGGAAGATTACGTTTTTTATGTTGATATTCCTTTAGCCAGGGTGTTTGCCAGAGTCTGTGATAGCTGAATTTATGACTTCAGAATGGAAAGTTGGAGCTGGATTCTCTGTTTGACCAGACCAGGAACCCTAGCTGCCAGGGCCATTTGGTCTGCCAGGTACTATGGGCACAATAGTGCTGATACAAGTGTTAGAGCTTTAAAAATGTTGTATTATCTCCAAAATAGAAAAAGATAGTCACAAAATCAGAAATTAATATACTCAGTACAACGTTTAATATTATGTCTGTTTCACTGTTCATTCTGGTCTTCATGAATGTCATTTACCTTGACAATAATTTTGAGAAAAAGCCAGATTTTTTTTAACTCTATCATAATTCCTGAGTGCATGATGATTATTGAGAAATCATTCACCATTATAGATTAAACAGGTTATAGACATTTTAATCTTCCCCAAAATTATTTGTGTGTATATATATATATATATATATATATATATGTGAGAAATATATGCGTGTGTATATGTACATACGAGGACTTTAAAATGTTTAACACATACATACTGAGGATATATTTTCATATGTTTGATATATTTTAATGTGTTTGACATAATGTGGGAAGGGGTTGCTTCTAGAAATATGGGCATTTAGGGCCTATAAGAAGGTCTTAAAATGGCACCGACCACTGCAAATTCCCTAAGTACTGTGTAGACCATATACAGGGTTGTGAATTTACCCCTTTACTCTTTAAGAATCAATTTGAATCCCTTCATCCTAGTGGGAATCCCAGGTGCCCATGACCACCAGAAAGGACCCTGAGCGATGTGAACAGCAGAGGATGGGTTCTGAGAATTCCACAACCCAGAGAGACTGTCCTTCAAAACAGACCACTGAGTTTTACTGCTGTGAGATCTCTCTAGATGTAGAAACAGGGCTGGATGTGGTGGCTTACACCTATAATCCCAACACTGGGAGGCTGAGATAGGAGTAGCACTTGAGGCCAGGAGTTTGAGACCAACCTAGGCAACATAACAAGACTTTGTCACTATCCAAAACATAAAATTAAATGTAAATTAAAGCTTTTTTTAAAAAGAAAAGAAAAACAGCATTCAGGATGCAAGAACTGTTGGGTTTCTTGGTTTTTGTTGTTGTTGTTGTTGTTTATTTGTTTTAAATAGACTTTCCCCAGTGCATTTTATAGATTTAGCTTGTTTACTTTTCTTTTAATTGGTGGGCAGCTATTTGAGCCACTGGCGGAATCTGAGTTGGCTTCCATTAGCTGTTACTGATGTTTGGCAGATAAATTGGGCTTTATCTACAGCTGTTGGGAAGAATTAACTGTGTAGGTACTGATGGTTACTAGGTTTTGTTTTTTGGGTTTTTTATGTGTGTGTGATAGAGTCTCACTCTGTCACCAGGCTAGAGTGCAGTGGTGTGATCTTGGCTCACTGCAACCTCTGCCTCCCAGATCCAAGTGATTCTTCTGCCTCAGCCTCCCAAGTAACTAGGATTACAGGCATGCCCTGCCATGTGCATCTAAGTCTTTGCATTTTTAGTAGAGGCGAGGTTTCACCATGTTGGCCAGGATGGTCTCAATCTCCTGACCTCGTGATCTACCTGCCTCAGCTCCCCAAAGTGCTGGGATTCAGACGTGAGCCACTGTACCGAGGCAGTTACTAGGTTCTTAATGTGGAAACAAGTTCGATACTGTTTTCAAAGCATTTGTCTTAAATTTGTCAGTCCTACTGTCCTGAAGGGAATTGACAAAAATAAGTATTACAACTGGGCCAGCAAATGGCCATATTTGGACCACTTTTAATTCTGCCCTAATTCTAGTACTTTGTAATTGTGTAGATAAGCAGTATAGAGGGAATATTTTAAGCCATGTTAATTTTAAGCCATGTTAAACCATGTTTTGTTTTCTTATCAATTTACACATTCCATTAGTTATTATGACACATTTTGATTTTGTAAAATGTGCTGTTGAATTAAGAGACTTTACTTCATTCTTTACCCAAGTTGAATGATTAAAAAACAAAATTTAGTCGAGTACTGAAACATTTCAAAATTTATTCTTTAAGATAGAATTATATTTGGAGTACACCAGTTGTATATTTGTATTAGCTCGCTTTCATGCTGCTGTTAAAGACATACCTGAGACTGGGTAATTTATAAAGGAAAGAGGTTTCATTGACTCACAGTTCCACATGGCTGGGGAGGCCTCATAATCATGGTGGAAGATGAAGGAAGAGCAAAGGGATGTCTTACATGGTAGCCGGCAAAGAGAGGGTTTGTGCAGGGAAGTCCCCTTTATAAAACCATCAGCTCTCATGAGACTTACTCACTATCATGAGAACAGCACAAGAAAGACCTGCCCTCATGATTCAGTTACCTCCCACCAGGTCCTTCTCATGGTACATGGGAATTATGGGAGCTACAATGCAAGATTTGAGTGGGGGCACAGCCCAACCATATCAATACTTGTACTGGTTCATGGAAACTGTAATTATAGCTGCAGGCTCTGGAGACAGAATGCCTGGGTTCAAATTTTTGTGTGTCTAGTTCTTAGCTCTGTGACCTTACCCATCAGATTTTCCTTCACCTCTAATCAGCACCTGTAAACTGGACATAATAGTAGTACTAACCTCATAGGGATATTAGAAGTATCAAATGGGAGAATCCAGAGAAAGTGTTTAGCTCAAAACCTGGCCCAGAATAAGCATTCATAATGTAGTCTAGTAATTGTAGAATAGCAGCAGGAGGAGTAAAAGAATAGAGCAAGAACCAGGCAGAAATAAAGTATTCTTGAATCCTTTCTTTTCTTTTCTTTTTTTTTTTGAGACAGAGTTTTTCTGTTGTTACCCAGGCTGGAGTGCAATGGCGCGATCTTGGCTCACCGCAACCTCCGCCTTCTGGGTTCAAGCAATTCTCCGGCCTCAGCCTCCCGAGTAGCTAGGATTACAGGCACACACTGCCATGCCCAGCTAATTTTTGTATTTTTAGTACAGACAGGGTTTCACCTTGTTGACCAGGATGGTCTTGATCTCTTGACCTCGTGATCCACCTGCCTCGGCCTCCCAAAGTGCTGGGATTATAGGCGTGAGCCACCACGCCCGGCAGAATCCTTTCTTTAAAATCAGAGTGTTCACAAAGAAAACAAGAGTGTTTATGTTGTTGAGATCCAGTTTTACACTGGATCCAGTAGTTCTCAAACACTGGTGTGTGCCAGAGTCCCTGTAGTGCTCGGAGCCCACTCTCAGTTTCTGATTCAGTAGGTCTAGCCTGGGGCCAGAGGATTTGCATTGTTTACAGGTTCCCAGGTGATGCTGATGCTGCACATCTAGGGACCACACTCCGACAACCACTGGCCTCAAGTATTTATTTAAATTGTGCACCAAAGATATCATTGATTAATATGAAAATAACAGTAATAGTTGCTTGAAGTTTATAAAGTTCCTGTCTTTCAAGAAGCAAAAAACCTTTAGTAAATGTAAGCTTAAAATACATGATTTGTTTTCAATTGGGATGGGGAGATGGGGGAGGCATAGGTCTCTGCCCAGCACCCATTTGAGGGACTGGTCTGAAGACAAGCATCAAGTCCAAGGGAACTCTAGAGTTAGGATCAGGAATCCTGCAGCCCACCTAATACTTTCTCCCCCAGAAAGTAGTCTCTCCCCCATTTCTATAAAGTCATCCATTTATAGACTGGTCATACAGGTCACTGAAGATCTGCTGGTCGACCCTAAAGATGTTCCACAGGCTTTCCTTAAACACACGCACATGCAATCAGTCTTTAAATGCCCTGAAAACATTCATAAAATATATTTGAAAGTGACAAATTTCCTTTTCTCAACTGTCTCTCAGCAGCAGAATAAGATCTCAAATTGATGTTTCAGTAAAATGTATGCACATTAAAAACAGATTTTTTCAAATTGAGAATAACAGGCTAGAACAGCAGAGTTTAAGGATGCAAATCCTTGCTATGAGCTCTGTGTGTTTGTTACCACCACATACAGGCATATACACAGCCTTTATTTATACATACAAAAAGACTTCTGCCACAGACTTCTGTACATAACCTTTACAAAGTGTGATGTATATGAAATAGTGATTAAACCACCCATCTTCACTGCCTTGTATACTTTTCTAGTGTTCTCCAAAAAGCAATACAAACTGTACATTTTTGTTTTTGCATAGTATATCATCCTGTCATTTTGAGATTTAACATTTTAACACTATCACCATTAGGTATGAGCCTATGAAATTCACCTAACACCAAAGAAGACAAACAATAGGATAAACTGTCCCAGTCTGTTGATTTTGTCCATGTCTTCAGTTTTATATATGTGTTAATAAGACATTTTGTGCTGTAGATTTACTGACTCTCAATTCTGATATCGACTACAGCCAACCCTCCTTTAGTACTTGGGAGCATGATTCTATTCAGTTCTCACCCCAGTTTTCACGGTTTTCTGTTTGTTCTGTTCTGCCATCTGATCTAGAGTCGCCTGGCACTGCCAGTGTTCCGCTTAGAGTTCAGAACTCTTGGCGCCGATCCCAGTTTTTCTCTCAGTCAGGTAAACTGCATACTGGGTAGCTATATTTCTTCTGTGTGAAAATCCATGTTGGGGCAATCAGTGATGTCTGGCACTTGTCTTCATTTCTGATTTCGGGGAAAAAATTATTTCTCATGCACAGTTAGCAAAGAGCTAGCTCTGATATCACTACCAGTTATGCTAAAATCCGGGGCAGGGGGAATCACAGAACTTCATGTTGATTTCAAGAATTCAAAGAAATAATAATATTCATCACTTTCTTGATAGTTCCCTGCTTAAAAAACAAACAAAAAAGATTTAAAACATTTACCAGAAACTGATCATGGTTCTCTTGTTAACTGTGTCACTGTGTTGGCTTCCTGGGTGACATCTAGCCTCTCTTTATATGGTACTTCTCTATGCCAGACAGTGAGGGAACTGCTCAGTCAAGCCAGAATGCAAGGTGCATTAAGAACCAGTACTAATAGGAATAGTTGTTGCTTTCTGTAGTCTAGTACCTGGTGTTAATTGATACAATCAATCATTTGATGGTGGTTGTAACTTCTTTTGGTGATGGGTGCAACCTGCTACAGGGGTTGTCTGCTTTATTATAATTTTCTAATGCTGTTGGCTTACCACACACACATACACAAACAAAAAATTGATTTAAAGCTGATGTAGGCACTACATTCCACTGATAGGATTGAAAACAAAGACAATTAAAAGATAGTCACATTCAAACCTTTTTTTTTTCATTCTTTTCTCTCTGTGCAGTGGATTCTCCAAGCAGTGAAAAGTCACCTGTTACGACACCTGTAAGTCACTCATTTTAACGAATAAGATTATGAGTTAGTGTGATTTTAATTTATAACATTTGATTTGCTTAAAGAGTATTCAACCAAAATTGAGACCCAAACAATTGATTTTTAAAAGAATAATTGAAAGTCACACATAATGCCATCAGGTAAATTATGAAGACATGGATTATCATTATATGGAATTGTTATTATGCCTGAAAATAATTGATAAGTCAAGAAAGCAAAATAAGAATTGATATTGATTATGGTGGGCTTCTTGGATTAGCTATTGGGAGCAGGGGGAGGGGGGTGGGAGGAGGATTCATTTACATATCAGGCACTATGCTAGAGGCTTCTGAATAATTATTTTAATTAAGGCTCATAACAATTTCAAAAGAAAAGTACTGTCATCTTATTGTACAGTCAAAGAAGATGAGGTTCAAAGAAGTTATATAACACCTTCAGGGCTACACAATTAAATTGTTCCAAGAGGCAATTAAAATGAATGTGACAGACTGGGCATGATAGCTCACACCTGTAATCCCAGCACTTTGGTAGGCCGAGGTAAGTGGATCACTTAAGGTCAAGAGTTCAAGACCAACCTGGCCAACATGGTGAAATCTTTCTCTACTAAAAATACAAAAATTAGCTGGGTGTGGTGGCAGGCACCTGTAACCCCAGCTACTCAGGAGGCTGAGGCAGGAGAATTGCCTCAACTCAGGAGGAAGAGGTTGCAGTAAGCCAAGATTCCAACACTGCACTGCAGCCTGGGCAACAGAGTGAGACTATCGCAAAGAAAGAATAGAATAGAATAATAAAAAAATAGAATATGACAGTAGGAATTAGTATTAAAACTGACAATTTCTGTAGACACATTTTTTTTTAATGCACCTCATTTTTTAACATAAGGATAATGCTTGAACATAGTATATTGTTGGCAGACGGGACCTAGGTTATTGGCCCACTTGTATTTGACTATTCTGTGAGCATTATGGCCATCCCAATCAATTGCAGGAAGCACAGAGCTTTCCAAGATACCTAAGCTCTAATTTTTGCACCCCTTCTCATAATCAGTATTTGACCAATATTAACTATAATGTTGCTTTGCCTTTTGTATTTTAATTAAATAAGAAAGTATTTGTGAATTAAAATAAGACACAAGATGCTGTGGAAATTCCTTGCTGCTGCATGACATCTGAAGCTGGTGTTTCTAATCTTGGGCCTATCTTCCTTGTTCGCCCTCTGAAATTCCCATTAGATTTGGAGAGTTACTATTTTTTTTTTTTTAGGTGGTGTCTCACTCTGTTGCCCAGGCTGGAGTGCAGTGGTGTGATCTTGGCTCATTGCAACCTCCACCTCCTGGGTTCAAGTGATTTTCCTGCCTCAGCCTCATGAGTAGTGGGGACTGCAGGCACGTGCTACCAAGCCCAGCTAATTTTTTGTATTGTTAGTAGAGATGGGGTTTCACCATGTTAGCCACAATAGTCTCTATCTCCTGACCTCATGATCCACCTGCCCTAGCTTCCCAAAGTGCTGGGATTAAAGGTGTGAGCCACTGCACCTGGCCTACATTTGGAGACTTCCTCTGTGGCACAACCAACTGTAGCATTGCCCTTGAGCAGCCTGGGCTCAGCCACATAATCACTACTGTACCTTTGATTCTGGATCTAGTGTGTAGCCCTGAAAGTATTACATAACTTATCTGAACCTCATCTTCCTTGACTGTACAATAAAATGACAGTACTTTTCTTTTGAAGTTGTTATGAGCCTTAATTAAAATAATTACTCAGAAGCCTCCAGCACAGTGCCTGATACGTAAATGAATACTCTCCTGCTCCCAATAGCTAATCCAAGAGACCCACCATAGTCAATATCAATTCTTATCTATAGGGAAATTGTCTCCCTTAGGAAGTTCATATATGCCTCTGCAGAACAGAGAAGGGATCCATCACTTGTTGCGTAACGCTTGGTGTCACCAGCCACATTTCAAAACTAGGGACTATGTGTGGAAGATCAGTCCCAAGCCAATACTGGGAATCCTGTTTCCCGGGAAGCTGAGTTCATTGATGATGGATGGGAACCCCAGAACAATCCCAAAGCTAGCACCCATGGCACAGATCTGAAGATTTCCATTGTAAATTGCATTTGGAACAAGGATGTCAGTTGTTCATGCCCCTTGGGGAGGGGTGGAGAGGAAGGGCATTCTAGAGAAACACATTCTCATTTCTGGTTTATGGAAAATAGAGTAAGGAAGACACAAATCACTGGCTCACTTAAGTAAATCCTCTGAAAATTTAATGTGCTTTTGATGGTAAATGGCTCATCATAGAATAGAAAATAAAAGAAACTTGAAATAAGTAAAGCCTCAAGAGGAGATAAGCATTGGATTATGCTGGGCTCCATAGACTACCTGAGGACCTCGAGACTATGAAAGGAGGAACTCTAACGGTAGGAGATGCATTACCCAGCATGAAGGGATTCCGTTCATTTATTCCACAAACATTTGTGGAAGGCCTAAAAAATAAGGTCTTGGAGTCATTAGGAGGGTGAGGGACCCTTCCTGCCTCCTGAGGAATCCCTAGACCAGAGGAGGATACAGACTTGTAAATAGGTAAATTGGAGGACAAAGTGGGTTAAAGGCTGTTCATTCTGACTTACTCTAGCACCTTTTTATTTCTTACGATAGTTATCACACTGTCTGGTCATATGTATATATTGGTCACTCTTCCACCCCACACACCCTCAGGTGTAAGCTCCACCAGCCTGGGTCACTTGGCTAGCTGGTACCGACCCTGGCCCACAGTCAGTGCCCAGTAAATAATCTGCAAAAGAAGGAGCAAAAGCATTGTTTCATTCTTTCTTGTTTATCATGCTGGTTTCTTCCCCTTTATCCTCCTCTTAAAATACCCACTGCTTTCCTCTCTTGCCTTTTAACACATATTCTGTATTTTCTGTGCTCAGTCCTCCCACCCTGTACTTCCTCCTCCTATCTGCCCACTCCTTACTTGACTTATTCCTGACAGCCTAGTGAAATTTAGAAATTAAATAATTCCTACTTGTTTCCCTTATTTTTCTTCTATTCGACTTTCCTCAGTGGTCTTTTATGGCTCTATTCACACAAACATCCCCTTTTCCCTCAAAAGACAAAGAGGGGCCATGCCCCTGGAAGAACTTCTGAATGTTTAAACCGCCTCCAGTTCTGGGAGAATGACAGGTGGAGCCAACTTCTAACACCATTACATTCCAGTAGAATTTCCCATCTGGTGTAACCACATTTGGGCAACATTTATGGCCATCCAAGGGAGTTTGGGAAATTTTAGATGACAGATCCTCTTCAACTTAAGAACGGGGTTACATCCCAATAAACTCATCATAAGTTGAAAATACTTTAAGTCAAAAATGTATCTGATACACCCAACCTACTGAACATTATAGCGCAGCCTCGCCTACCTTAAACGTGCTCAAAACATTTATGTTAGCCTGCACTTGGGCAAAATCATTTCACACAAAGCCTATTTTATGATAAAGTGTTGAATATCTCATGAAATTTATTAAGTTTCTACTGACTGCATATTGCTTTTGCACCATCATAAACTTGAAAAATTGTTAAGTTAAACCATCCTAAGTTGGAGACCATCTGCATATATAATTAAATGATTTGCCCCTTGCATAACATCTCAGAGCCTGTAATATGCTAATATGCAGTGTGAATCTCAAGAGTGGCAAGCAGGAAGTGATAAGCTAGTATCTCCAGTTTAGTGGCCCACTTGTATTTAACTATGCTGTGAGCATCATGGCCATCCCAATCAATTGCAGGAAACACAGCAGCAAGAGTACAAAATGGGGCCATGTTTGATTTGTTCAAATATATTAAAGTTCTAAATATTTATGAGGTTATAAATCAAGCATCACCCATGGCCTGGCCTGCATTCTCTGCCTGAGGATACTAAGGGGCCAGCCCACCTGCCATGCACCTGAATGCTAATGTGGACCTGTTGGGGGCCAGGCAGAGTCAGGGGTGGGCTGGCCAGGTACCTGAGACACTGGATCTATCAAAACCTTGGATAGCACTGTCCTTGTCCATCTTCCCGGGCTACCAAGGTACATAGATTCTGCCTGCACCCCTCCCCACCCCAACCCTGTTTCCCATCCCCCTACCCTTGCTTGGCTTTTTCTACTCATGATTCCCAGGCAGTTCCCTCGATATCCTACCCCATCAGAACAAAGGGAAGGGAGGAGCACAGTTACTGGCAGCCTGGTCTGTCTGGGTATATACTCTGGGTGACTGGGGCAGCTGACTTTAAACACAGCAGCCCCTCTCTTCCTAGTTTCCCAGGGGCAGGCTGTGATTTCCCTTCCCCACCCACACCCTCCAAGTCTCATCTTCTGAGGCCTGGACACCTGCTTTGGTTCATGCATTTTTCTCCATTATTCCTCATTATTTACTTGGTTTCCAAACTTGCAAAAACCTTTTATTAATTCAAAAAGGAAATAAGTCCTTGGGCTTTAGTGTTTGTGTCTGGTGGGCCCCAAGTGATCTGTTTGCCTGGATCTTAGGTAGTATTGGTGAGCATTGGTGAGTTAGATAACCCACTATAGGGACAGCTGGTGTGGAAAAGCAACAGCAGTATAAAAGATTAGTTTCATAGCGTGGGAAATACCCCTTCTTACAAAATGCATTTCTGCTAAAATGACCGGTCTTGCTTGCTGAGACCCAGGATCAGCATGCAGAATGAGCACCTTAGGCTCAGAAGCATGAATGCATTTCAGAGGAATCACTTCTGAGAGAATGAAGCAAAGCCTTCCAATGCCAGTGGCTAATTACTTTGTGTTTTTATTAGCTCCAAAAACATTCACAGAATCATATCAGCATCTTGGAAGTAAACCAAAGAAGGACTAAGATTAAAAAATGGTTTCTCTCACCAAAGAGGATGTTTAGATAGGTGAAGCCTTCTGCTTCTGTGTGTCGATCTGGGTGCCAGGCCAGAAGCCAATTGTCTTCTCTTGACCTGGCCTGCCTCTTGAGGACATGGCTCAATTCTCATTATGGTTTTATTTTTCTGAGCAGTTTAAGTTCTGGGCATGGGACCCAGAAGAGGAGCGCAGGCGACAGGAAAAGTGGCAACAGGAACAGGAACGTTTGCTCCAGGTAGGACTGGGTTTGCTGCTTTTTTTTTTTTGCTTTTTTTTCCCCCCTTGTACTTTGCATTGCATTAAGTAGACTTTTAGCACAGAAAATGAATGGAATCGAGTTTTTCTCAGAAGTTAGTGAATCTCAAGTCAGTTCATTTTGTGTCCATGTAACAGAGTACCCTGTGTCTCATTCTTCCTGCCAAAGACTGCAGTAATAAACATGATGAAAAACCATTCATATTAATGCTTAACCAAAAAACCCTCCAAGTATGGTTAAGGGCCGGTCTACCCATTCATCACCTCCTTAGTTTTCAATCAATTTCCAGTCCAAGTAGCAGTGGGAATGAATTATCTAAAAGCTCTCTGCTGCCATACACATTAAATAAAATTTAGCCTCAGTCTAGTTTCGTAAATAGAAATATTTGTTCTACCTTTAAGAGCTGGGCGCAGTGGCTCATGATTGTAATCCCAGCACTTTGGGCAGCCAATGTGAGTGGATCACCTGAGGTCAGGAGTTGGAGATGCCTGGACAACATGATGAAAGCCCATCTTTACCATACAAAAATTAGCCAGGTGTGGTGGTGCACACCTGTAATTCCTGCTACTCAGAAGGCTGAGACAGGAGAATCACTTGAACCCAGGAGGCAGAGGATGCAGTGAGCTGAGATCGCACCATTGCACTCCATCCTAGACAACAGAGTGAGGCTGTCTCAAAAAGAAAGAAAAGAAAAAGAAACGTTTGTTCTACCTTTGTAAAAAGTGGCTGATTATCAATTCTAGAAAAATTCTGGTAGTAAGTTCATCACACTCCTATTTCATGCCAGCTTTATGGATTAACAGGGCTTCAGAAGGCAACCTAGCAACCTGAAGAACTAACCCAGATTGAGTACCTGGGATATGCCAGGAACTGTGGTTAGTGCTTGACATTTTTACCTCATTTAATCCTCAAAAAGCACTTCAAAGTATGTCTTATTAGCCCTTGTTTGCCATTGAAGAAAGTAAAGCTCACCGAAGTTAAATTAATTGTCTGGGGTCACACAACTAACAGGTGTCAAGCCCAGATTCAAATCCAAGTCTGGATGACTTTAAAACTCATGCTCCTTCCACTACATTCCTACTAGTATTGATATTACAATCAGTCAGTAAATGAAAATTTTGTTAAACTCGTTAATTTTTATGACTTTCAGCTGCTTAGAGAAAGCAATGCTTAATGCAAGTTTATTTTGCTTACTTTTTCTTTCTTTCTTTTATCTTTTTTGTTCTAATCCTTTTGGCTTAATTCCCAGGGGTGAGGTGGTGGAGGATGAGTAGTAGATGGTAGTGTGGTTTGGGCCCTGCCTGTTAAATTTGACATTTTGGAACTGCAGAAGGGTAAGCCTTCAATACCAAACTGTTAGTAGGAACCCGATTCATCAAAGTCTTGGGGCTACTGGGATTTGAGATCCATTGGGAAACCTCAGTGCAGCCCTGCCCATCTGCTGTTCTCTGGGAGAGTAGGTGCTCATTCCTCAGCTAAATGGTAAACAGCCAAGAGTCAGATTTCCACACTGTGAAGTCAGGCAAATGTGCTCCCCACTGTGATGCTCTCTTACACACCAAGGGGTGACCCTGGTAACAGATACAGGCACCTGGCCTTTGTGTTGCTCCTGTGTCTCTGACTTGTTGCCTGGTATGGCATCGTGGGTTGTGGGCCAAGGTGTTTGTAGGAGAGGGCAAGGGGGAGAGAGAGAGAAAGAGAGAGAGAGCACCTTTCATTCTCTGCATCATCAGTTCATCCTCTTGGGGAGGGTAACATGTGATGCAAGCTCCTAGACCAAGAAGCCAAAGAAGCTTTTATGTAGTTTTAAGGTCTCTTTCCTCTATTCTAAAAATCCCCTGAAGTCCCTCTCTAAAACTTTACAGTACTTGATTTTCATAACAAATTTTTACCTGGTGATGAAGAACATGCCATGGGTTGATCAACAATGATTTTCTTCGAGTTAATAAGAATACCAGGCTCCAGAGAACACCAAGAAAGTCCTTCTGCTCCTAAGTTACTGACAAAACAGGTGATGCCTGCAGGAAATCTCAGTGCCTTCCCCGTGAAGACAGAAGCAGATTTGTTTCAGCCTTGAAGAGAGGATTGACAATAATCAGCCTAAAATATTTGAGTGTGTGAACTGCACATCAATGGTTCCCGTCTCTGTCATGTCAGGAAGCCATTCCCAAGGCATCAGGAGTGTCACTTCTCATTTTATGCATTAATTTCAATCCCCATTTATTCATTTCTTCTAATCAGCTGTCAAGGACTCTAGTCACAATTGGAACACCAGTTTTATTCAGAGTATGTTCTTTTTTCCTCCCAGAAATGGGGACTTGTGCTGCATTATTTCTGAAAACAAGAATGGTGATTCGGAAGTACTCTAATGGACTGTTTAAAAACTACTCTTAATTTAGAAGTTACTTAAAACTAGGAAGACTCTATTTTTGGTAGAATAATTACAAGCAAAGAGTAATTCAGCTACTCAGCTAATTATCATCATGTCCACTGTGGACCTTTATGTATTGTCTGTCTTATAAACATTCAAGGTTTTTCATCTTTTATCACACTCTTCTCTGAAATGCATTTCTATTAGTGGAATGGTAAAACTCATCTCTAAAAGGCCCAATAAAACCAAACCATTGGTTTAGCTCACCTGGAACAAAATCTGAGTGAAGGAGGATTTTATAGGCTTTCCACCTTTCCGTCTTTTCTCTTTCTATAAGTGAATATCTACTCGTATATCTGAGAAACAATTCTATAAAACATGAGCAGCAGAAAATACTGCTGTCCATTGGATTTTTATGTTCCCAAAATATATGAGTGCTACAAAATAGTATGCCCTTTTTATTGCACGAATCAATCAGATTCAGAATGCTTGGAAGAAGAAGAAAATCTTGCAATGTGTTGTACATGGTGGTTTAGTGGGGGAAATTCCCAGTGATGTATGCAGTGGTCAGTTCAGAACAATCTATGGAAATTCCATAACAGGAAAGATACCAGAAGGAGCAGGACAAGCTGAAAGAAGAGTGGGAAAAGGCCCAAAAGGAGGTGGAAGAGGAAGAACGCAGATACTATGAGGAGGTAGGAAATTCCCAAGAAGGAATTTGACCTTGTCGTCCCAATTCCTCAAAGTTTAGCAACACTCTCTGTGTCTGTGGCATGCAGATGCATGTGGCTGTGGCTGTTTACTGACAGCAGAATCCTGTCAACCTCTTTAAAATAGTCATGTCATGTAGGTTCTAAAAGACCACAATTCCCTGCAAATACAGTTTGTGGTAAGGGTGTGTTGAGTCGTAGTCAAGGGAAACAATACAATTGCATCTGTTCTCTAGTCCGTGAGTCAGATTATTGATTGATCTTAGAGAGGTGACATGAAAGAATCAGTTGCATTCATTTGTGTGTTTGTTTGTTGTTTGCTACTAGTGAATTAATTTTATGATGATAATTTTGATATTAAGGCTGAATGAATGCATTTACTACAGAGCACTAAAGAGATTTGGAGGAGAAGAGAATTTTGTTTCGGTTCATTTTGTTTTTTAAATGAATAAGCCAGAACACATTAGACAATTTAAAGCGGGCTGCATTTTATGCATGTTATCTACAATCTGTTCATAATTAATATTGTTGTGAATTTTATATCCAATAATACTTTTTGTGCATAATCAGACCCCTAATAGCATTTCTAATTAGGCTTCTTGCATCACTCTAATTAATTTGCAAAGACTTTGTTTTTCAAAATTAAATATTAATTTCTAAATTATTTCCTATGGAGAGCATTGTATGATTTGCATGCTTTTGGAAAATAAGACTTTTTAAAATGCCCTGCTTGCTTGCACATATTCTGATTTTTTTCCAAATGCCTCAATGACATTTTTCTCTTGACAAATGTGATTTTTATTTTTCCCCCTTTCATCGATTTCTGTCCTTCCCCTTAGGAGCGTAAGATAATTGAAGACACTGTGGTTCCATTTACTATTTCTTCAAGTTCCGCTGACCAACTGTCTGCCTCCTCCTCCATGACTGAAGGCAGTGGGGCAATGGTGAGACCACAGATTAAAAGCAATTTGTGAAATAAATAAACCTAAATAGAAGTACAAAACCCCAAGACCAGGGTCACCCACCAGACTCAATAGTTTAAATCCAATACTAGCTAGTCCCCTAGAATCACATCAGCTACTATGTGGCCATTGTACCCCATTGCTCCATCACTGCTGCAGCCAAACTCTAGAGTTATTTCCTGGGAAGTGGTAAAGTCATTACTCCAGAAAGATCTATCCCAGTAGGCTGGCAGCCAAAGTCTCTCCACACTTGGCTGGCAAGATCTCAATTAGTGAAGTCATGTTCTGGATTGTTCTTCTCATAGCCCAGTTCCCAGATCATTCATTCATTCAATAGACATTGATTCCCCTCTGCCATAGCATACATTCCTTTCCATTGTTTGGCAGCAGCAGAGATGTCAGTAATACGTTCTCCACCAGCGTCTGTGAAAATTGCTTCTAACCCCCCACATTCCACAAGATGTGTAGTCCCAGCTACCTGGGAGGCTGAGGTAGAAGGATCCCTTGAGCCCAGGAAGTAAAGGCTGCAGTGATCATGATCTTGCCATTGTACCACTGTACTCCAGCCTGGCTGAGAGAACAAGACCCTGTCTCTGAAGGAAACAAAACAAAACTAGGCAATACATGCTGAGCTTAACATTTAGATGATGGGTGGATGCAACAAACCACCATTGTACATGTTTATCTACAAACGTGTATATCCTGCATATGTACCCTGAAACTTAAAAACAAAACAAAAAACAAATAAACAAAAAACCCTAAATAAATAAATAAAATGAACTTATGTAGGGCAGCACTAAAAACAGACAAACAAAAATCACAAGAAATTTATGTGTTGTCTTTGAAGGCCAGAGAGAGCCTAAAGGGTCTGGTCTGCCTCCACATCCCCCAAATAAGGTCATAGAAGATGGAAGTATCAGGCAGAAATTATATCAAGACCTGGATAGTCCATAATTTACAAAAAAGAAAATAACCTGTGGATGTGGATGCCAGAAAACCATTTGTCCTGAAATGAACAGCCCTATGACTGTTTTATTTTGAAAGAGGGATTTTCTAATCAATTCCCTTTTGTGATAACTTTCAAAAGAGATTCAGATTCATTACATTTATTCCAAATAGTTGGAAATCTGTTGCTATTCAGTTAATTTGGACAACTGTTCTTTAAATTATAGGCAACATGATTGAAAAATACTTCTGATATCCCTGGCCAAAGATAAGTGTTATACAATGTGTTTAAAATGTATACTTAAGATGATCCTTTTCTCCTTAGAATAAGATAGACCTGGAAAACTGTCAAGATGAAAAACAAGACAGAAGATGGAAGAAATCATTCCAGGGAGACGACAATGACTTATTGCTGAAGACTAGGGAAAGTGATCGACTGGAGGAGAAGGGCAGGTATGAGCCCAGGTCAGGCCTTCCATGAAAATGTACAAAGCTGGGCTCTGCTCATGCACTCCCAGGAAGAGGGTACTCATTACTGATGCAAATTATATTCAGCTTTGAAATGAATGTTCCAATGACACATTACATATTGCTTGGACATATTGTAATCGTTCTAAAATCAGTGTCCTTATGCTCTTGAATATAAATAGCCTTCTTTTTTTTCTCCTTTTTTTTTCCTTGAGACGGAGTCTTACTCTGTCATCCAGGCTGGAGTGCAATGGCGTGACCTTGGCTCACTGCAGCTGCCACCACCCAGGTTCAAGTGAGTCTCCTGCCTCAGCCTGCTGAGTAGCTGGGACCATAGGTGTGTGCCATCATGTCCGGCTAATTTTTATATTTTTAGTAGAGACAGGATTTCGCCATGTTGATCAGACTGGTCCTGAACTCGTTACCTCAGGTGATCCACTTGCCTCTGCCTCCCAAAGTGCTGGGATTACAGGCATGAGCCACCATGCCCACCCTAAATAGCCTTATTTTAAAATAGACAAACTCTTTTAAACAAAAGGGGACAGTTATTGGTCATCAAAGGAGTATGTTGTCAGTTCAAAGCCCCAAACCTAAATACTACTCACTTAAAATGATGAGTAATATTTGTGTGATGAGTAATAAATGTGTCTGGAGCGATAGAAATTTAAATGGAGACCCTGGGGTCCCACCACTGTGGGACCTGCACTTGGCCATTATTATCTCCTGAGCTATTAGAAACCATATTTACCCTGGCGATACTATAAAGGAAAACCAACTAATCAACTGGTTGTGGGTAGACACCCCACCCATGGGCTCTACTGTGTTCCATGGGAGATCAGAAAAGGACAGCTAGAGACCCCTGGAGCACTCAAAATGAGCTCAGACTGGAGCAGACTCTGGTTGTGGCTGTGGGTTATAATGGGCTTATTTATGCCACCGCACCCCATCCCTTATCTAGAAGGGACCCACAGAAAGCCCAAGAAGCTGGCAGTGCTCTGCCACTAACAAATTCTTCATGAGAAAGATGTTTGCCTCTAGGAGTCTGAGATACCAGGTAGGTATTGGCAAGAGTACATGCCTGTGCACACACATAGCATCCCAGAGGGATCTGAAGGCATGAAAGGCTAAGTGTCATTTTCAAAGACTGGCCAACTTGAAAGATGGGCTGGGAACAGAGCTCTCCTGGTGGGGTTTTGCTCTGAGAATTCTCCTATGCTCATCAGCTAGAAGACTGGTTAAATTGTCAGCTACAGGTGCTCAGGGCTGTGTCCAGCAACTGCAGTCCTTGGATGACTTTCCAGTTTACACTCTTTAAAGGGACTTTCCAGTTTTATGCAATGAAAACCACTAGTCAGGAAGAGCTGAATGATGCGGATAAGCTGTTTACATGAATTTTTGCCGTATCTACAGACAGGCATTTTACATGAATTTTAGATAGTTCTCCAGACTGTGCATTTTGTCACCAGAAAAATTTGTATCTCCTTCATCTCTTCATTCTTTGCACATAGTTGCCATGGAAAGGCTAGTGAGTTACTATAGTCTTCAAAGGTTCCATGTGGCCAAATGATTTTTGCAATAAATCCTCTCTTGTGAACATCAGGGGATTCTAGTTAGCTCTGGCTGTCCTTGGAATTATTAGAATGAAGACCTTTGTGGACAGAGGAGACATCAGACATGATAGTCTGTTGAGTTTGTTAAATGGATGGATGACAGAAAGTTGTAGTACTTTATCATTTTCAATCTATTTTAAAAGAGAAACAATAAACAGTCTCATCTCTTTTTTTGCATTGCAATTGGTACTTCCATCTTTTAAGTTCTAGGACCAATAAGCCGGATTCAGTTGCTTTTTTCTCTGCTTTGAAGTATACCTCTTTATTTTAACAGCCTAACTCAAGGGGCCTTGGTTCATTCTGGGAACCCTGTATCGAAAGGAGTCCTTGAAGACCATCAGCTGGATACTGAGACTGGGTCCCCACACTGTGGGACGAGCCCACAGCTCTCTCAGGGTAAGAATGGAGAAGGCCAGTTTCATTCAACGTTTAAATTGTTGTAAGACCCCCAGATTGTCCAGAAAGATATGATCTCTGCTGGCTTCAGGCTTCTCTCTAAGGGCCCTGGACTTCTAGCTTAGGCCCAAGGTATAGTGAATAAACTCCCACCACCATGTGCCCAGACTGTAGCAACTTGCTGGGGACTCAGTGAGACCTAGAGGGCATTAGCACTTAAAAAAAGATTTTAACTTTACAGAAAACCTTTGACTTTCATAAGTAGTACATTCTGAGACTTCCTCAAATTCACACTTCCACCTTTGGATATAATCTCCCCAATTGAATGGTTGTGGGGGAATGGAATCCCCAAAGCTGGGTGAGATACGGGCACTGGAATGTTGGGAAGGTTCAATCAGCTCCCATTGCCATTTCACCCTCATTCCCACCTGTGGCTCCTGGCTCACCACGAGAAGATTCAAATGTATTCCTCACCAAAATGATCAAATTCTATATGCCGAGGGTCTTCAGGATCATTCATACATCTATGAATGAAACTTCAAATGTTGAATTACATAAAGAGGAGGAGTGAGCTAAGAGGATGAAAGAGTGACCCTGGTAAATATGTTTATTGCCAGAGCAAATCTGACTGACCAAATAAACATTTTTAATGGTGGAATTAATGGATTTTACCTTACATTTTTTGGCCTGTTGTCCATACATATATTTACCTGGGTTAATTATAATACATAAGCATAGATTTGTGTGTGTTCCCAAACAGAGATATCGTGCAAGCTGAATACCACTCAGCTGCCGCATGGAGTTAAACCACATCACAGTTGGTGTGATCCATGGGTCAGAGAAAGCAATGGCTGTTCACTGTGTTTTAGAAATTATGTTCCAAGTTACAATTGCATCTGCCCAGATTTGCTTTCTTTCATGTATAAGAAGTCAGTATTTTAAAGTACTGTTTTATGACATCAGAAATCAGCCAGCAGAAAGGGCATGGTTCCTGACCTCCTTTGTTGCCAGAACTAAATCACGATACAGCAATTTAAGTGGCCTCTCTAACCACCATGTGCCCATGACCTGGATGAAATTGCTATGAAATCTCAACAGGCATTAGCACTTTTAAAGAAATGTGACTTACTAGGAAGTAAAGTGAATTTACTGTGCACTACATTTATGTTCTTTAATTGGCCTCAGATCCATCCCAGAATCAGCAGGTATCAAATCCAGTGCACAGTGCAGAAGACATGAAGCCAAAAACCCTCCCACTGGATAAAAGCATTAACCATCAGATTGAGTCTCCCAGTGAAAGACGGAAGTGAGTAACCAGACAAGGTGGCTATGGGATTCCTTTTTTGAAAAATGTATTTACTTAGAAGGGGGAAGAATGAAAAATGTGAGATGGCAAGATGACAGCAGCATGTTTGTGCTTTCTCTCCATTAAATCTCGTTGACAAGGCAGTCAATATGAATGGAGGTTTGGAACAGTCTTCCTGGCAAGTAAATATGTGCTCTGAATTTATTGAGTTGTAATAGGCAAAGTTATGTTGTTAGCCCACAAATTTAAACCTTGGAAAGGATGTGCAGGCCTGTTGTGTTTGTAATTCATTTGAGTTACATTGCCTCAGAGCCTGTGGACAGAGTTTCATTCAAGGAAAAAAAAAATGTTATTCTCTCGTTATGCTCTCCCATAAGGTAACTACTTGTGCTGTATTTTAATATTGTAAGAAATTATTTTTGACAATAATAGTTTCTATCATGTTTGAATCATTTCAATATAATTGGCACTCTGTTGAAGAGTTTACATATATTTTTCTCTCCTCTTCTTTTCATACATAAACTCACTGAATCTGTCCAATAACTTTATATGAGATTGTTCCTGCCATTTTACAGATGATGAAATTGAGGCTCAGGGAAGCTTAATAATTTATCCAAATTATTTAATTGATTAAGTAGTAGAGAAATTCACAATGAACTCTCAGTTTCACAGTAAGATCATATTTGAGTCAGAGATACCTTATAATCAAAAATTGAAAAATGTTAACACTTATGGTATTATAACCAATCATTCTACCTAGAGCCAGACCACCTACATTCAGATTTTGACTCGGCCACTTGCCTACATTGGACCTTGAGCAAATTACTCAATCTTTCTCTGCCTCATTTATGAAATGGGAATGACAATAGTCTCTACCTCATAGGGTTTTGTGCCTGGCTAATAGTAAGTGTAGGTGATGATGATAACTTGTTTTATAAGAGAAAATATTGCCTTATTTTTCTTGTTACATTTTCCTTTTTCTCAATGCAATATTTGAACCATTGCCTCTGTTTCTGTTCGGTCTATCCAGTGTCATTTCTGTTTGTCTATATGACAGAATCCATAGAAGCTAAAATTACCTGGAAATAATCACTGTTGTTATTGATTATTGCAGTGATGTTTAATCTCTTTTTTAAGCATTGGTACATGAAATAGTGATATTTGGAGAAGACCAGCTTTCCCTCAGGAGGGAGGTTTGGGTGGGAAGTGGGATCAGGGAGTTACGCTGAAAGCGGAAGACACATAGACTCACACTCTGTTCACTTCCATGTTGGTAGATTTCTTTCCCTTGTTCTTTTCTGTGTTCTACCCCTTTTCTTTACAAATGATATTAACTTTTAAAAGCAGAAACCCAGAACTGATGGCTTAATTACAGGCACGGCTCACATACAACCATTCTGGTAGCTTCTAGCTAGGGGTCATTCTGACTTGTTGATTCCCACGACCTACCAGTTGTGACATGTTTTGAACATCACCCTTCATCACACGCATCCGTAATGAATTTGTTGATAGGGGAAGTCACTGAAAATAGCTCCTTTAAGGTCTGTCCTTGATCTCTGGGCTCTCCTTGAAGATCTCCCCTGTATCCCTCCTCATCTTTCCCCTTTCAATGTGTCCATCATTTTTTTCTTTCTTTCTTTCTTTTTTTTTTTTTTTTTGAGACAGAGTCTCACTCTGTTGCCCAGGCTGGAGTGCAATGGCGCGCTCTCGGCTCACTGCAACCTCCACCTCCCGGGTTCAAGCAATTCTCCTTCCTCAGCCTCCTGAGTAGCTGAGAGTACAGGTGTGTACCACCAAGCCCGGCTAATTTTTGTATTTTTAAGTAGAGACTGGGTTTCACCATGTTGGTCAGGCTGGTCTCGAACCCCTGACCTGGTGATCCGCCTGCCTCAGCCTCCCAAAGTGCTGGGATTACAGGCATGAACCACCTTGCCCAGCTCCGTCATTTTTATATCTAATCAGCATGCCAAAGCAGTTTGGCGAGCAAGTCAAAAAACAACCCAGCAATTTTAGCTAAAAAGAAATTAACTAAAAATAAAGATTATAAAAATATTCTGCCTTTTCTGTTCAGCAATGCCAGCATGCCCACTTGGTTTTGGTTTGATGTAGATAATGCATGTACAATTCTTGCTAGACATTGTTAATATTTTTGTTCATTAAAAAAAAATACAAGGAAACTCTGCGGTCTTTGATTTGGTTGTCATGAACTTTTTTTTTCCCCTAATCTAAAATGTCTTTTTTCTTTAATGGAGTTTGGCTTCTCTTTACTTGTCATAATTTTTGACTCCTTTACCATATTGCAGGAAAAGTCCCCGAGAGAACTTCCAGGCTGGGCCTTTCTCTCCCTGTTCTCCCACCCCTCCCGGTCAGTCACCAAACAGGTACAAGAGGTCAGCAGGCCTTTCTGAGGCTGCTTTGTTGTGATTTGAGCTTGCCAAGCATCATTTCAGCTGAATTAGTGCCTGCCAAATGATTTTGAGGGATGTGTCTATCCTCATCTCTTCCTATACACACACACACAGGCAGAAGGAAAGAGAACATTCTCCATCTGCCTGCAGATTTATCAATTGCAATAGAAAAATTCAGGCCTGTGACATTGGTGCCACTATGGCCCTAGGGCTTTAATTACATTGTGTGGAACCTCCAATCTAATAATAAAATCCACCAGACAATCGCCAGGCTCCAAAGCTGGCGCCTTTCCCTCCACAAAGGCTCGGCCCTTCTAGGCAGGATCCGCTGTTGGCTCTTACAGAGAACCAGGCGGAGGCTGATAAACGAAACTTCATCCTTCTAACCTACTCCAGCTCTCTAATGATGACTTGTGGACATTAACTGGGCCCCATGATATTTTTAAAAGCTGCCTGAATTCCCATTCCCTAGAGAGACAAATTACTAAGTGCTCAGAGATTTTCTTTGATGTAGAGATTTCATTTAACTACTGGATAAGAGGGAAATCCTAATAAATAGCATTTGACTGGGGCAACACTTCCTCTTTTCTACTCTCTTCCTTTCTGTTTCCCCTGTCCCTCTGTACCCTACTGGTTTTCAAATAATATTGCATATTTTTAAATTCCTTGTATCATTCCAAGAGTTTCTCAGACATTAGGCATCATTGCTATGTGATCTTAGTTGTATAAAAGCTGCCTTTCAGAGGACAGATGTCTAGTTTCAGTTGGGTTGCTGATGGTGTCCTTTCACCTGGTGGTGTTCTGCTGATTTGGTTCCAGTCCATTGCTTGCAGTGTACTGGAGTCTTCAGGGGTACAGAGAGGAAGTAGATACAGTCCTGCCCGCAAGAGGCTTACAGTTTAGAGAGAAGGCAAGTGCCTTCATTCACAAAATGTTGGCACTGTTAGAAATTGTAGAGATAATCTGGTCCAATCCTTTCGTATTAAAATGTGAAAGAGAAACCCAAAGTGAATTTATTAAACAAAATCTGAGAACTTGGTGATAGAGTAGACATTAGATCTCACCCCTCTGGGCCTTTTGCCTAGTCTGCTGTATCACAGGTGATTATTTTCAAACAAAAATGTTGTTTTCTTAATAAGTAAAAAGAAATGCTGTAGTAGACCAGCAAACCACTTAAGGGAAATTTAAAAGCAACATTGAAACCTCAGCAAAGTGAAACTCAGTTGTCTTTTAGGACTTATAAAAAAGTATGATAAATATATTGAATCATTCTGAGGCATCTGAATAGACTACAACACAAACTTCTTGAAACAAATAAACACACATACCAGATTCAGTACCACAGTGGAGACCCAGTATATTTAGTCTAGCAGTTGTTTACCTTTTATATCTAATGTTTGATCTCCTATTCATCATCAGTTCTGTAATTCTCATTTCATTCATGATATAGGCATCTTAAAAATCCATATTTTTCTTGCACAGCGGCCATGCTAATCTGAAGCATTCCATATTTTTCTAAATTCATATTTTTATTTTTGCATGAGGTTATATGTCTGTGTGTTTGACCAGGTATTCTAAACTGAAGTTTTTATTGTTACATATATTTTTAAACCTAGGTCTATAAGTGGAAAGAAGCTGTGCTCCTCCTGTGGGCTTCCTTTGGGTAAAGGAGCTGCGATGATCATCGAGACCCTCAATCTCTATTTTCACATCCAGTGTTTCAGGGTATGCACTTAATGCTCTTCTCTCCACACACAACTTCGTGATGTCTTTTGGCATCATTCCGTGCTGAGAAATGCCTCTTGGAAATTCTGGAGGGCTTTGTCTGTGAGGCCTCCCTGTCTAGGTTGTATAGATTTGTGGTTGGATTTCATCCTTCAGAATGAAGCTCTCCTATCACAAATCCCTCTGGGATGTCAGATTAGAAGAAGCAGAACAGATTTGTGCAACTTGTTCTTACAAAACAGTTTTTGTTGCTAAAGAACACAGGAGTATATGTTCTTTATATGTTTCCTAAACTCTTAAGACTTAATGTAAAAGGGTTTTAGTCTTTGACCTAGTGGAAAATCGTCTGTCAATTAAGTAGCTAGAAAATTGTAGGTCTCAGAATGAATATGTCGATAACCTTAGATTAAATATCACTTCCTCTAAAAAGCTGCCCCGCCCACTCAGACTAAGGTGCCTTTGTTATAGGTCCTTAGAGAACCTTTCTTGGTCCTTATTACTGATTATTGAATTATTTAAATATCATCTTCTCTAATAAACTTAAGCTCCGTAAGGGCAGGGACCATGTCTGTCTTGGTTACCATTTGTTCCACCTAGAAGAGTAGGTGTCAATAATATTTTTAGGTGAATGAATTGGTGAATAAACTGAAAATGAAGAGGCCTAGATTCTAGTCCCAGATTCCTGGTAATAAGTAGGTAAGCTAACCAATGATACTTGATTCATTCTGAAATTTATAATCTGGTCTATAACAGCATATCCTGTTTTTATTTTCCACTCACAGACACATTTCAAATTAATATATAATTTTTGAAGGCAAACCCTCTATCTCTGAGGAGGAGTCATTTCTTGGTCTGTGTAACACTGACATACTTTCTTTTTCCTTCTTGAATTTTCTCTTATTTCTTGTTGTTAGTTTCATTGGCTATAAGTAAATTTGCCTGGGTTTAAAATAACTCCCACTTTGCCTATAAGCTAAGAGAAAGTCAGTGAAATTGTCCCCAAATGACTAATTTAATAATACCAGTAATCACTTAAAAGCAAGATTTATCATAGGGAAAATACAACATAGATACCTATTTTAGATTTCATTTATCAAAAGCTTATTTTATTTCCATAGAGAACCATTCTACAAAGGGCAAGCAGAAGTATTCTTATTGTAAAAATTAACCTAGATAATAATGTGTGTCCTAAATTGTCTAGGGACGTTTTGAGGCTCAAGGAATATGCTTTTTTAAGATTTGTAGTTATGCCAAAATAATATATTTCAACACTGAATTCTGTTCCCAGAAACTTTATCAGGGCTAGAAATAAGCAAGGTGGTAAGGGCTCTTTGCAGATTCTTAAGGGTCAGGAAACTTGCTTTCTTAACTCTCAAGGCCTTTATTCTCTCTAATCATTCACTTCCTGGAATTGGCCTGACACTTTAAGGTGCATTACCTCTGGGATTTATTCCCCACTCTTGCAATGTATTGGCAGCTTGTAGCATAATTTGGATGAAGCTTTGCTCTGTCCCAGGTGATCTTAGAGGATGAATTACAGGCTAGATCCTGGTCCCCCTGCAAGAAGCTGGCACCTAGAACAACTTCCACTGCCCTTCTCTACAAACATCCAAGTATATCCTACAGTTCCCTTCTGCACTTGGGTTAGCTTGGTGGAAAATCCCAGTGGATTTGTTGCTCTGAGTATCACTGCCTTTAATGTGGAAATACATAATGGAAAACAGCTATTTCCCAGAAATTTTGATCTGTAGAACTTAACAACAATGGTGGCAAGCCTTTAAAGATTATTGATGGGCAAGTTTCAATGGATAATTCATTGGCCATATGTTTATTTAAAGCTAGTATGGTTTAATTTGCCTAAAATGGTTTTGATTGAGAAATGGTATGTGATAGAGGTTAAGAGGCTAGGCTTTGGAGTCAACCTGCTACACTTACCAGCTTCACAGCCTTGGGACAAGTCAACGAACCTCTCTGAACCAGTGTCCTTTTCCATAAAATGCAAGGAATTAAGGTAAAATGCTAACTGTATATTTGCTTTTGCTGTTAGTTAACACCGGTGCAGCATCTTACACATAATAGCTCCACAAATGTGCCGGGCGTAGAAGGGATTACTGTGCTATTCATATCAACAGTAACTAAGCATTATAAAGAAACAATTGCTTATGCATCTTATAATGTCTGTTCTTTTTACCCTGTAGTGTGGAATTTGTAAAGGCCAGCTTGGAGATGCAGTGAGTGGGACAGATGTTAGGATTCGAAATGGTCTTCTGAACTGTAATGATTGCTACATGCGATCCAGAAGTAAGTACTGGGGAGAATGCCTCATGATGATCGAGTGTAATCACGTGTTTTCCATATGACCCAATGTAGGTATTCAAATATTTTTCCCCAGCTGTTGACACTCTTCTGAGAGAAGGGTTTCCTAACACCTAGGTTTTAAAAAGAGATAATGCAATATCCCTTTATTTACCACTCGTTTCTTCCTGAAAGTTACTGCTACCATGTGGACCAGTTGTTTTTATCCTGAAGTACATCAGCACACCAGCAGGTAGAAACATTACCTGAGCTCACCACAGAGATTTTGGTGCAATAGAAAGGAGATATAAGGTCTGTCAAACACTATTCATTTGGTCAGGCATGTCTTTCGAAGAGTGGCACCCTTTGGAGATGGTTAAATGTGGAGAGTGGCGCACCACTCTTTATCAGATCGAGCACCAAGTCACCAGTGTCTACACGCCCTGCATTCACAAGTTTCATTATGTCATATGGCTGTGTTCCCAACTGAATGGAAAGTTCCTTGTATTATATACATCCATATAATACATGTATAATAGGTAATAATTATATACATATTCTTTAAACTGGACTTTTTGCTTTTATATGCTAACAATGATAGGTTCTACTTCTCTGTGGATTCTTTCCCACCTCCCATCTCTACAATACCTTAGTAATAGTATGCACTTAACAAATTATTTGCTGCCTTAGCAAGTGAGCAGCCTGCTCTCCCATCTTGCATCCTGGCGTCCTACAGTGGAAGGTTCATGTTAGTTTGGGGGGCACCAGGGGGTGCTGTTGCCTAGCCACTGTTTAGAAAATCTGGAAATGGCCAGTGGCTTGCCTCGGAATGTTTCCTCATTCTCCATCATGAGTACAGTCCCTCTGGTGGGTCACCTAGACAGCAGAAGACCTTTTAGTGCAGAATCATCAGTCAGAAACTCTTTAAAAAAATTGGAGTGAAGATAGGGAGTGTGAAATTCAAGAATGACTATTTCTCAAAGTGAAGTCACATTTTTACTGTCTTTTTACACGAATCTCAAACCTCTTCAAGATTGAAAACTTTAAGAATAAAAATTGAAGGTAATTTGTTTTATAGCTATAGATTTAGTAAATTCAGTTAAATGTATGCCTATTAATAAAATGATGGGAAATAAAAATTTAATCAAACCCAGGTAGTTTAGGTCTATAATAAATATTTGACATGAGATCAAAACAGTTCCAACTTAGAGCTTCTGCTATCAAACTGGACTATTTGTATCTTGCATGATATATGTGATATTAATTTTTATACATAGATTTTATGTATTAAATATATAAATAGTATACCATATATACACACAAAGATGTATAATACATGTATAATAGGTAATAATTATATACATATTCTTTAAACTGGACTTTTTGCTTTTATATGCTAACAAGGAAAACTACAGTCTTTTCGATGTGATTTTTTCTATTGTCTTCTATAAATTATTCTTTTTCTCAACCTCAGTGAACCTCAGTGAACCAGCTGAATATAATTTATGGAACCAGAAGAGGGCACTGTTAGGATGAAGGACTGCTCAGAAAGATTTGAAAAGTGCTGTAGATCTGAGTTTGTTTCATAATTTAAAGTGCTTGAAGGATGCCAACAGAACAAACTTGAACCTCTCTCTGGGTGACAGTGACCTCTTTTTCATCCACATTTTTTTAAAATTGAGCGGGTTGTGTGATTCATTGTCATTTGTTTTGGAAGTTAGCCCTTTAATTCAAGGCCAGGTATTTTTCTCTTAAATATACAAATATAAAGGGCATTAACTGCTTTTAATTTCAAAACCTTGGAATTACTGTAATGAGCTGAAAAATGAGAAAGTGATTTGGAGGTAGGCCACAAAAAAGTGAATTTTTATTTCTTTTTTGTTTTAAATGCAGTGTTTTACCAGGATTTTTTTTTGAGAATTTAACATACAAAAGAAAACAAAAAGGCCCATTGTTTCTCTGCCTAGCTACTTCTACAAATAGTCAATGAATAAATAAAAGTTATAGATGGTATAAGGTTAGAAGAATTGAATTGTTCAGAAAGACACCAAATTAAAAGTGCAAATCTCCATTGTAATCCATTTCTAATCATTTCTTGGGGTAGGGGCAGAATATATGTTTGTTCATGTGTATCCACCCACTTGCACACATGTACGCACAGAGACACATTTATGTATAATGTATCTATCTGGATTTGTGTTGGTTTCTATTTCACAAAGGTGAGGATCATATAGTCACGGTGTTCCGTACTTGGTTTTTGTTGCTGTCGTTTTGAACTTAATGATATATCTTGGCAATTTTTTCATACAACATGTTCTTTCTCCTTTTTCTTTTTAATGACTTTTAAATAGCTGCGTATAATCCCAGTGTGTGGACTTATAATTTAAAACTAATTCTCTATGAATGGATACTTTGGTGGTTTCCCATTGTTTAATATTATTTTTTAAATGCTCCAGTGAACATCCTTGTGCATATATCTTGATGAATATTTCAAAACATCTCCATAGGATAGATTCTGAGCAGTGGCACAGCTGGCTTAAAAGGCATGTGCTTTTTAAATTTTCGGACATCTTGCCTAATTATCATTCAAAAAAGTACATTCTCCCTGCAAAATATATGAGAACCCCCCCCTTTTTCTCCTCTAAGCCTGTATCAGCTCTGGATATCATCAAACGTTAAAAATTTCCACTCTGCTAAGTGGGGGAAGAAACCTCATTGCTTTGATCTGTATTTCCGTAATTATGAGTTTGAACATCTTTTCATATGTTTACTCACTGTTTATATTTCCTTTTCTGGAAAGTACTTCCCTATCCCTTTGCTGTTCTTCTATTTGTCACCTTATTTGTATGAGTTCTTTGCAAATTAAAGAAATTTGCCCTTTGCTATATTTGCCGCATATTGTGGTTATTGGTTTTTCCACTCTGTGATTTATTTTCATACAAAAGATTTTCATTTTATGTAATTATATATATTTAATACATATAAAAGAAATATATATTTCTTTTTGGAAGATAGGTTTCTTGGGAAAACTCTCATTTCAAGTATATAAATACATTTAGCCAACATTTCTTCCAGAATTTTTTCTTTCTTCTTCACATGTAAATATGTCATAATCAGGATTGTATTCGGGGATAAAAAATGAGGTAGATATCTGACTGATTTTTTTTTCCAATTAGCCAATTGTATGAATACCACTGAATGAATAATCCCTCTTTTTCTCACTAATTTGAAATGCCAGCTTTCTCATAAGCTAAGTTCCCATATATATTTAGGTCTATTTCTGGATATTTTATTATGTTTTATTAACCTATTTATTCTCCATTACTGAATGTTTTTAATTATTGTAGCTTCATAATATGTTTTAATATTGGATAATATTATTTTTTTCCAAAATTTTCCTAACTCTTCTCCCATATTCATTTTTCCAGATAATGTTAGTATCTTTAGGCTAATTTTAATTAAGTTAACATGTGACAGAGAGAATGACCAGCACATCTGAGAATACTGTTATTTCTTTGCTGGTGTCCTAAGAAATAAATATACTTTAGGAATGAATAGGTAGAGGGGATCATAATTTGGCTTGAGAAGTATAAATATGCTCAAATTGGCCAAATTTATCCAAGATCCAATAAAAAAGTCAGAATGGGAGGAAAATGGCTAAAAACCATTTTTCTTTCTTTTTTAAAAATTTGATTTAAATTGAGAAGAGTGGAGATGGATAGATGTGAAGGGTGGTTTACATCATAGGCATTCTAAGTGAAACAAAATAATTTCATTTTGTGGAATAACAAAACTTGGATATATAATCCTATTTTCTCCAAGTAACAAGTCACATTTAAATGAAATTTTTCTCTTGAAGGGAAAAATAGCATACCAGCATATCAAAATGCAATTTCTAAAAGCAATGTAAACAGTTTTTAGGTTCATATGTAAATGGGAATGGAAGTGCAAAACAAATTACCTGTCACTCATCAAGCCGTCACATGTTTAAGTTGTGCCATTTGTGTTTGGGTGTTGGGTGACTGTGTCTTTGTACATGGTGTTCTGTTCCATCACTCACTCTCATGAAATGCATTTAATGCAAACTCCCTGGGGTCTTTTCAAATGTTGCAATTGCTTCATCACAACTGTAGTGCCTAAAAAGGAGAAATCCTGTGAAGGCTTCAGCAGAATACGGAACCCAAACGATCCTTTCTAGATAGGATTGCCAGATAAAATATAAGATACCTACTACATTTTTTTTAACCAAGTTAAAGCTGGATTTCACATAAACAATACATTTTTAAAGTATTTGTATGTCCCAGATATTGTATGCTCTGGATTTACCATAAGTATGTCCCAAATGTCACATGGAATATGCTTATACCAAAAAATTCTGTGTTGTTTGTCTGAAATTATATTGTAGTGGGTGTTCTGTATTTATACTTGCTGAATCTAGCAATCCTATTTCTAGATCATATGTCAAATTACTATATTACAATTATACTTAGAGAAATCAAAATCTTAGGAAACTGAGAGAAAAAAGATTATTTTCTTGCTTAATTTGCCCCAGAGGACAAGGTAGAAAACTTGATGGTTCAGGGGTAATCCAGAGCATTTGCTCAAACTGAATCACCTGGGCACCGCGTTACGTGGGTCTGGAACGCAGCTCGAGTCCACGTTGCTAACAAACTCCAGGTGATGTCATTACTGTTTGTCCTTGGACCACACTTGAGGTAGCAGGATGGGACAAGTTTCCCGTCCCCAGGAAGAGGAGACTTTGGTAAAGGCAGTTGCTTATTGGGAAGGTTTTAAAATGTCTGAAGCGAGAATGTTGCCTAACCACTCTTGTTTTTTGTTGTCGTTGTTTGTTTTAATCACAGGTGCCGGGCAGCCTACAACATTGTGACGTGGTTTTCAAGCTTCTGGATCACTCACCATTTCTTTATTGAGAGTGTCCCTGGCGATTGCTTAACCAAATCCCAAGTTCAGGGGCTTCTCAGCATTTCCCTAATTTCTGAAAGGCTCTTCTAAAAGGTGGTATCTGTTCTTTGGTAGCACAGGTTTGTGTTTTTCCTGTTTTTCATTTTGGGATTTTTTTTTTCATTTGCACAGTATACAAAAAATAATATTGGGTTGTAATGATCCAGAATAGCTCAAAAAAAGGTTTTAGCATGGTCAAACAGGCTTATGGTTTAAAATGTGTTATTCTCTTCTTTGGGAATTAGCTAAATGATGCAATAAACCTGTTTTGTTTTAGAATTTCTAGGAATTAAACACTTTATGTTTACAGAATTGAGCTGCAGAAAGTGCAAGACATGCCAATTTGAGACACACGGTCTTCTAAGACTGAAGGATAAATTTAATGCATTTCAGAAACTGAACATCACAGCAAGCTCTATCTCTGAGCTATAATTTGTTTTTAATGCAAAGACACTAGTTTGATAATATATACTGTAATCCTGAAACATTTGTGTTACTTACCTTTTGAGGTAGAAATTATACCAATAAATTATTGCACCGTTAGTATTAGATTTTGTGTACCTTGGAAATTATGTCATTAATATAGGCTGGTTCATCAAATAAAGCAAAACCTTGCAATATCAGCTAGATTTACACTCTGGGACATTGCCCAAAGGTAGGAAGAAGGCAGAGGGAAATACTTCAGTCATCGTTTCCAAAGTTATCAAAATCTGTGAGGAAGTTTAATCTTCCAAAGAGTCAATGTTAGCCAGCAGGCCCCTGTTGCCTGCTTCTCTCGAGGCACTAGATTAGGAGTCTTCAATAAGAGACTTAACATGAGGCATATGGAAGATAAGGCATCGAGATAAGTTCATCATTAGGTGTGAGCACTGCTCACCCTTGCTGGCAAGTTCGCTTTGAGGGTCTGAAGCACAGGTGCCCAAAGAAAAACATTAATTCCATCCTAATAGAGTCCACGTGGCATACGATGTGGTCAGCCACTGGTCTATGATCAGCAAGAGCCTACAGCACAGACTGTGCCCTGCCCACTTCAATGAATTGAGCATTTGCTCTCCTCCATTCTCCACCACTTTACTATCAAGAACTCTGGACCTTGCCCGTGGAGAAGTTTAGAGAGGAACTCTTGTGGAGAGCTGGTTTATTTTCTGCCCTGTGTGATGAGTTTCAGCTGGCCAAGAAAGGAGTCAAGTTATTAGAAGGCATCACAATGCAGATCTCCAGGCTGGTTTTTTGTTTTGAAGATTGGGGAAAGGGGGACTATTTATTCTGCCTTAAATCAATGGCAAATAAGTCAAGATGACATTTTGTGAATGTAGACTCTGGATACACTCCTAATAGATTAATGTACTCATAAAAGGAGGTCAAGTAGATGTTTTTCTGTTATGTGAGCAATAATTTTTTCTGTGTCTTACTGAGTATGGCTAGCGATTATTTATTTACATGCTAGATGGGTTCTTTGCATGTGGGTTCCATATAGGTGCAGAAATTTCCTCAGCGACTGGAGGGATTTCAACCATATTTGTCATTTGGATGAGCTGTTACTAGATTGAAATCTACACATCATTTCATTAAAAAATGTGCCTTAGAAAATGCAAAGCTGTTGCACATAGTGATAAATTATGGATGCAGTACATTGAAGAGAGATGAAGTCACTTCCAAGTTTCCAAGACTTCTCATGGAGGTGTTTGCTGTTTTACAGGAAAAAAAAATAAGAGGAAAAAAATTAAAAAGAAAAAAGTTTTGAAAATGTACAGATTAAGTCCAATATTTTGATTATCCACCTGCATGTTTTATTAAATATTTTGATAATGTGGATGTTTACACTTTGCATGATATTAGCAGAGTACCACAAATAATGCACAAAACATGTACAATATGATCATTCATAACCGATTTTTATAGAATACTTTTTACATGTGCAGCTCCATCTGTTATGTAAGGATATATTGCACATTCTCTTCTGGTTTCACAAACCCATTTATACATATTTCTTAGTGAGGCTCATTGTACATGTATTGAAGCTAGAATCAAGTCAAGAAAAATAAAGCCCCATTCTCCAACTGCAAAATGTGCTTTCCCATAATGAACACTAGTCACCAGCACGGAATAATCTCCAACATTTTCTAAATTCTAATTGCCAACTGTTTCTATTTCTATTTGATTTATATTTCATTTGGAGTCTGTTACATGGCAGCTTAGGCAGACTAGATCTTGTTTTTTCCAATGCAGCAGAATGAGTATGATCTATTTCTTTTCAAACAATCTTTGAGATCCCAGGGGGAAAAAAAAAACGCTCTGCTCCATTGAGCTATAATGTAAATGTGTTTGTTTAAAAAACAGATGGGGCAAGTGAGTGATTTATTGTTCCTAAGGAAGTATATCTGATTTTTTTTTCTCATATTCCAAAAGCTAGTCTCTACTCTTTAATAAAAAAAAATGGGTAACTTTCTGTTTTTCACTAGCGAACTTGCCTGACATTTTCTTTCTATGTAGTGTTATTAATGCAATACATATTATAGTTAATCTATACACAGTGTAAGATTTAACAAACTGAAATGATCCACCGCATATGTGAGTCCGTCCAAAAGATGTTAACTGCTCTGGGTGGGCCAATGTTCTATATCGGTTACACTAACTTTCAAGTATTTATTCTAAAATGCCTCTGAGAAACAGTAAAAGATAAAAACAAAAAGTTGTCTAAAATGCAACAGCTTTTATAGTAAATGTACATTTATAAATAAAATACTCAAATCAACTTTGTATTCCATTAGTTATTTTTGGAGTGGTGGCAGTTGATTTTCTTACATGAGGAAGAATCAAGCTTTCTCTTGTAGCTTTTGGTCCAAGGTTACATAGACAGATGATGGCAATGCTGCGTGTTTGCATGTACCTATTGATGCATAGTTGAGGTCAACTATTGAAGGCAAAGCAAACTTACTGGTTGGTTATAGGGGTCACTGAGGAATTGCCTTCTTTGGAAGCGTTTAAGCTTCTAGAGATGAGACACACAATAACCAGGAGAGATTATGCAAATGCCAGTGAAACTTGTTTGAAACAGCAAAATGATGGTCAGCTTGCAGCACTGCCTAGAGAAAAACAAGACAAACGTTTTTTTCTTTTTTTGGAGACAGGGTCTCACTGTAGCCCAGGTGGAGTGCAGTGGCACAATCTTGGCTCACTGCAGCCTCAACCTCCTGGGCTCAGGTGATTCTCCCACCTCAGCCTCCCAAGTAGCTGGGATTACAGGGATGTGCCACCATGCCCTGCTAGTTTTTTGTATTTTCAGTAGAGATGGGGTTTCTCTATGTTGCCCAGGCTGGTCTCAAACTCCTGGGCTCAAGCAATCCTCCCACCCCAGTCTCCCAAAGTGTTGGGATTACAGGCATGAGCCACCGCACCCAGCCAAGGCAAACTTTTTGAAGTCCCTATATCTATCCCTTTTTGAAGTGCCACTTTCCCCAGCACTGCCCCAATGTTCCCCACTTATTATATATGTAAGGTGTGTTTACTAAGGGCTTTTCTCTCAGGTGTTGAGCCAGGGAATCTGCTGTGAATCAGTAACATTCCTGCTGACTGACACTGTGGGCTCTGTGAAGTACACATGTATTCTGCTTTGCACTCTGTCCCAGATTTAAAGGTCGTGGCAATACCAAGCAAATTTTCAATTGCTTTAAGATGTGATACTCTTTCTTTTTTTTTTTAGACCAAGTTTTGCTGTTGTTGCTCAGGCTGGAGTGCAGTGGCATGATCTTGGCTCACTGCAACCTCCGCCTCCTGAGTTCTAGTGATTCACCTGCCTCAGCCTCCCAAGTAGCTGGGATTACAGGCACCCACCACCAAGCCCAGCTAATTTTTTATATTTTTAGTAGAAAAGGGGTTTTATTATGTTGGCCAGGCTAGTTTTGAACAACTGACCTCAGGTGATCCACCTGTCTTGGCCTCCCAAGGTGCTGGGATTGCAGGCGTGAGCCACTGCATCCCGCTAAGATGTGATACTCTAATTGCCACCACACATTGTCCTCTCTTTGCAAAGTTTGGTGGACAGTTAGTAGTTGCTTCTGTTTGTATGGAAAAGTGGATTCTTTTCGTGAGAGAGTTTTAGTAGCTATCAGGCTTTCAGGTGAACTTAATATTTTCATTGTTATTTAAATGAAAACCCATTAAACTAGAATGCATTTTAAAACAAAGATTCTAATAGGAGGTCTGTGAAAAAGATCTTTATTAAAAATCGAACATTTTACCTCAAGGATGTTGAACTAGCTTTCTTTCCATTAACTTTCTTCAAGACCTAAGGACTCCTTTTAGAGTCCAAATCAAGGCTCCTTTCCCCATTCTTTGGCATTATGCGAGGTAGTGGTTACAAACTCAAATGACTAGAGGGGTACAAACCAAAGGAGCAGCTAGGCAGTGTAAAGGAGAACCACGATAGAGTGTGGAGTATGGCACACTGGAAAAAAAGTTCTGTCTAAAGAAGGAGGCAGCTACTTGGCTTCATCAGTAGTTTTATGTGAAATCTCCAGTTTTTAAATGTCAACAGTTTAAAACATTTTCCAACATAGTGCTGTCCAAAATCACGGGTTCAACAAAATATATATTCAAGTCCAGTTTTTTTCTGAGGCCAGTGGTTTGCAACCTATAGCTCAGTCTCTTTGCTCTTCTATCAACTGCTACGAATTTGCTCTGCTTTGAGTCATTTTATTTGAAAAATATATCAAGAAATGACCATGTAAAATATTTGCTTTTCAGGGTGTCTTGGGGAAGATGCTAACAGAGCCATTAATCACCAGGTGATATGTTACAATTCATAACACTTTTAGGAAGTAGTATTTGTGCATTGTCATCAAACATTACTGTTTCACAAGTGGCCATCTGCAGTGTTTTGGCCAGCTGTGCCCTTCCTCTTAATGGTTACATTCATGATCCCAAGTGACTCAGAAGGACAAAAAAGTGTGCAAATACACAGACTAAAATTTTTTCTAAATTTGTTTAGCATCATTTTGCCAAATGCACTTTTGCAAGCATTGTTTTATTTATCAAATAGCATTTTTGGCATGTGAGAAGGTAAATGTATGACTCCTCATTTTACTGGTGAGAAACTGAACTATGAGAGGGATATGTGACTTATTCTGAATGAGCATAAGATTTTACATAATTGTGTATTTCACCATCAGTCCCCAATTAGGGTGGATCAGGATAACTTCCTATGCAACTGTTCCTGGTGCCTGTATCTAGAATCCAGACCAACTAGGAGGATCCTTGAGCATAGCTAGACCTTGGTAGGATTTCATCTGCACCCAAACAGACGAGAACGCTCTTTTTATAGTAAATTTACATGTATAAACAAATATTCAAATGGACTTAGTATTTGTCTTAGTCCGTTTTGTGTTGCTAAGAATGCCTGAGGCTGGGCAATTTATAAATAAAGTTTATTGGCTAATGATTCTGCTGTCTGAAAAGTTCAAGATTGGGCATCTGCATCTGATGAGGGCCTCAGGTGGCTTCCACTCCTAGCAGAGGGTGAAGGGGAGTGGCACATGCAGAGATAACATGGTGGGAGAGGAAGCAAGAGAAGCATGGGGTGTGGGGATGCCAGGCTGTCTCTAACAACCAGCTCTTATGGAAACTAATAGAGCGAGAACTCACTCACCTTTGAGTTGGAGCTTTAATGTGTTCATGAGGGATCCACCCCCATGACCCAAACACCTCCCATTAGGCCCCACCTCCAACACTGAGGAACGAATTTTAACGTAAGGTTTGGAAGGGACAAATATCTGAACTACAGCAGTAGTTTGGTTTTTTCTCTTGGGAATTGATTGTTGTTGTTCTGTAAAAAAAAAAATAGAGCTCTCCTTTGCGGCAAGGCTTTGAGTGCCTTGGTGGTTGCTGCAGTAGAGGCTGAGGAGTCTCTCTGTACCAACCACACCCTTGGCCAGAGGCCACTGATCTCTCCCTAACACATACCACCTTCAAAACCTCTTTTTCCCTCCCAAACTCTAATTTCCAGACTCAGGAAAAAACTAGTGCTGCCTGATGGATAACACATTGTTTTTGCTTCATAGCCAAACCTCAATTGTCTCAAACTCAACTGGCCAGGCCTGAATGAAGGAAGGTCTCTTTCTAACCATCCTGATGGGGAAAGGACTTTGATGGCACCCCACATTGGTCCTCATGTCACAATATTATTTCACTGCAAATAGAGCCATTGATCCATGAATCAAAGTGTTTCAGTTTTTCTGCAAGAATAATGGCATTGTCTGTGATAACTTGTGTTCTTTATTATTCACCAGGTAGATAGAGAATTATTTCAGCAGGTCCTGTGGGCTTAGAAAACATCTTAGCTGGCTACGGGTGACTCAATATAGCTATAGGAAGCCCCTATCAAACGTTTTCTCAAGCACTACAATCATGCTCCTTTGCTATGGAATTAATGGCTATCCCAACCTCTGATTCTGCAGCATTGAACACTTCCTCCTGAATTCATGAAAATCTGTCTAATACCTTGAATATTTTGAGAAACCTGGTCTTGTTGATATGATGACATTCTGGGAAACATGGAATCTTTGATTAGACAAAGGGAGAATGCCTTTTCTGAGATGATCAGATTCTGAGATGATTTTTTTTAATACAAGAAAGTATAAAAGAAAAAAGAATAAAGGAATTTGCCTTGCCCTAGAGTAAAATTTACTATAAAGATAATAAAGTGCATATCTTGGGCAAGAATTGATAAATTAGTTGCACTGTCACAGCAATAAATATGATCCACAAACATAAAAATAAACAAAACCTTCAGTAATAGCAGCACAAGCCAATGGCCAGAGGAGGGATAGTTGATTAACATCATCTCTTTACAATAAAATTAAGGTAGATTAACGTGTTAAGTGCAAAAGAAAGCAAAACAAAAAAATAGGCTTAAATATGTTTAAACACATACTCAGTAAAGAGAATTGTAGGCAAATTTAAAAAATAATGAAAAGCTGTGGAAAATGTATCCAACAAATATAATGAAGGGCTAATAGCCACAAACTATGAAAGTCTTTTACTAATCAATAGAAAATGTACATAAACTCACAGAAATATAATGACCAATAAATACCAAAAAATTTTCAACCATACTAGGGATGTAGAAATGCAAATTAAAACAACAGTAAGAATGGTGGCTGGCCCCAGTGGCTCACACCTATAATCCCAGCATTTTGGGAGGCATGAGGCAGGAGTATCACCTGAACCCAGGAGTTGAGGCCAGTCTGGACAATGAAAAAAGACCCTGTCTCTATAAAACAAACAAAAACAGTAAGACAAGACTCCTCCTATCTCCCCTCAAACAGAAAATTATTTTTATTAAGAATTAAGAACTTCTATATGGAAAAGAAAGTTTTTAAAAAGCTGCAAGCCAAGAGAAGATATTTGTTGCACATAAATCAACAATTAGTATCCAAAATATATAAATTACTCCAGAATATCAATAAGAAAAACACAAACAGGTCAATAAAAAACAAAATACATGATGGGCATTTCATGGAAAACATGAATAGCAAAGCACATAAATATATTCCATATTTTTAGGAAGGAAGTATAAATTTAAGTCATTATGAGATACCATTTTATATGAGCCAAACTGATTGTAATTTAAAGCTTTGATAAGACCAAGTGTTGTGAGGATGTGGAACAATGGGAACTCATACACTACTGATAAGAACGTATATTGGTGAAACAATGAGATTCCATATCACACCATTCAGAATGCTGATTATAAAC